TGTTAAGGTGTAAGGGGCTAAAAAATTAGAACTGTTTCAAAACTTTTAGATTTTATCACTGATTTTAATATTTTTTCTTCTTTTTTTTTTCTTAATGTAATTTTTCCAAATTCTTCATTAGAATAAGTAAATTTAGAAGTATAATTAATCAATTCTTCACCGGATGTTAATACAAATGTTAGAAAGGTTCGGAATTAAGTGTTAAGGTGCAAAAAAAAAAATTAGAACAGTTTTCAAAACCATCAGATTTTATCACTGATTCTAATATCGTTCTTTTTAATAAAATGTTTCCAAATTCGTCAATGGAAAAAGTTTATACATTCTTAATTAATTAATTCTTCACTGGATGTTAATATAAACATTAAAAAGGTGCTCGATTAAGTGTTAAGGCATTAGGTACTATAAAATTAGAACAGTTTTCAAAATCTTCAGATTAAGTGTTAAGGCGTAAGGTGCTAGAAAATTAGAACAGCTTCCAAAATTTTCAGATTTTATCACTGATTCTAATACATTTTTTATATTATTTTTCTAAGTTCAAATTCATACATTCATAATTAATTTAAATGTTTTTAAGGATAATATATTATATTTTATATATATATATTAAGTATTTGAATAAATTAAAAATGCAATTGAAATGAATATTTTTTTCAGGAAAGAAATGCTCTAGAATATGTTAATAATGCTGAATTAAAAAACCTAACTTCCATCTTAAAATATGAGTAAAGTGTTTCATTCGCAGAAAAGAACGCATGATTTAGAATGCATGATCATTCACAGAAAAGAATGAAAGTAGCCGAAAGTAAATTTTAATTAGCGTAAAAAATTGCTTAGTGACATCACCTTCAAATCAATTAAAAAGTGTTACTTAACAATAAAACATGCAATAATTAATAATAAAACACACGAAATCCTGATAAGCATTAATAATTGATTATGTGTTTATTATTGCTTGCTACAAATTCGCCTCGGACATCGAGAAACATATTTGAAATTTTCTTTGGTTTTGTGAGAGAGATTATCAAACATTGCGAAATTTTGATACGAAATTAATGGTAATAATAAAAAATTGCTAAAATAACTTTTACTGCCAAATATTTAATAATAATGAATTTAAAAGAAATACAGTAGATTAGCTATAATAGATAGATAGATTGCATTAGAATATAATTATTAAAACATAATTATGAGAATCATTCAGTTATTATTTCAATATGATAATTACTTCATTATTTCATAAATGAAAAATTATTCTAATATGATCGAATTAAATATCAGGTTGGATGAAAAGGTTCTATTCTTCTTTCTATTCCATTTTATTATTCTTTTATCTATCGAAGATTTCCCCTTGAGTCAAAATCAGAAGGATGGCGAGACGGCAATGCACGGATAGCCAGAAAGCTGCAACCTTTGAATCTTGGAATTATCGAATCTTTTAAAGAAATTTACACTAAACAACTTATAAGTTAATCATTTCTTTTTCTGGATTCCGGTGACCAGCAATATGCCTCTAAAGCAAAAATAAAATGTTCTGGAAGGTCTGAATTTAATTTCTACAGCGTTGGACAGTGTCACCTAGAATGCATTACTAATAGGCTTAATAAAGCTTCTTCTCCTAATGTTCAAATAGTAACCTAAAATTTTATTATTTTTTGCATCTTAAAGAAATTAATAATGAGACAAATTTTATATTTAAAATATTTATTCTCTATTATAACGTATCAAGCTATATTAAGATGCAGTTCTTTGTTTTATTAAAAAAAAAAACATTTATTTCACACCACAACAAATACAGTAACAATTATAAAGTTCCCGTAACGGGATAGTTAAATCTTATAAAACAAACTAGAAAAAGTACCCGTAACGGGATATATGAAAACTCACCCGTAACGGGATAGATAAAATATTATAAAACAAACTAGATGAATCCGTAACTGGTTATATGAGAACTCAAATTCCAAAACAAACTAATCTCTAAAAAAACCAACATCTCTCTTGTTCTACAAAAAGTCTTCTAATTTTATCGTCTGCTTCTATTTTATTGTTTGTCTCCTTATGTGTTTATTTTATTTTATTCATGCTTTTGCTAGCCCGTTATTTTTTTAATATTTTTACCTTCATTCATGCTTTTGCTAGCCAATTATTTTTTTTAATATTTTTTGACTTTATACTATTTTCACTAAAATGTGTATGCCGGTAATCATTCAAATATGAGTTTATGGGATTTTTGAGCTATTATTCCTGAAATAATTATAATCGATAATTAATGTTTAAGTATGCTTAATCTAAATAAGCTGCATGTTGAGCAAAGATAGTTTTTACAGCACTTGTTTAAAAAAATAATGCTTTCGCAATATGTTTATTAAATTGTTAATTAAATATTTCTTTACAAGATTAAATTAACTGTATAAATTCATTAAAGGACTTAGAAAAAAACTGTGAAAGATATTTGTAAAAAACCCTTTTACGTTTGAGAAAACTTTCCAGATTTTTTTCGACCCTTAGTTGCCCCCTATGAAAACAGCTGTTTAGTACATATTTCACATCTGAGAATGTGAAGAGGGTGATCTTAAAGAGGATGGGGAAATGCGGTAGCAGCGTTCACATCAATGAGATAAGTGAATATTCTATAGAAGCTTAAGATAATGTTTCTCCCACGCAAATTATTCTATCATTTTTTCCTTTCTTCCTTTTCATGAAATTAAAGAAAAAACGATGCCTTTAAAAGAAGGGCTCTGCTTTAAATAAGGTTTAGACGTTTTTATAGAAATGATTTTTAAAAATTGCTTCTTAATTTTTGTTCTGTTTTGTGAGCGAGAATTTCGAACATTGTGATATTTTGAGGCGAAATTAGTGCTGATAATAATTAAAAATTGTTAAAATTACTGTTGCTGTATGCACGGAGAAAAATATTCTGGTAAAATTAACTTCATGTATGGTAATGACATTTCTGCTTAAGTATAAGTTTGGTAATAAAATAAAATTATGCGGCATTTAAGCCATTTATTTGCCTTATAAATGGTAACGTTTCACCGGAAATACCGGTTTTCAAAAATTATAGTCCTTGTTACCGCACAAGAAGTAAAATTGTCTAACTGAAAAGTAAATTGAACCTTAAAAATGGTCCTTCATGCCTACATCTAAGTTATCATGATAAAATAACCAAATTTTACCACATTTTAACGCTCATTATAAAACGATATTTTACTGTTATTTTTACTAAAATTATTACCAAAGCGCTTCGGTAAAAACTACACAGCTTTTTTGTGTTCCCATAGAGCCAGAAGCATGGTAAATTTTACCATATTCTGGTAGTGACCAAACTTTGTTTCTTAGTGTAATTATTAAAAAATAAACTTTCAAAAATAAGATAATAGTTACATGTAGAACTACAAGGTGTTTCGTAATTACTGTCTTTAATATTACTTTTAGAATCCTTGTCATGAAGAAAGTAAAAATTGCAAACACGTTAGGGGTTTCGGAAAATATTTAAATAAGAAAAAAAATATTAAACAAATTGTGACGAATCATTATTGTGTTCTGAGCAAGGATGGATTAAAAACATTGAAAAGTTTGAAAATAGGATTTAATTACAAAGTGTTATTGTTAGCAAGTTTTCATATCTTCTCAATTCATCAGGTATTCAAACAAACTAAATTAAACTCAGTGGCGCGACAGCCTATAGAGTTCCAAGGCCTACTGTGCCCATCTCAGTTTTCTTGACCTTTGGGCTCTGAGGTGCAAGAGCAGATGCTCCGGTTAAGTGGTCAGCCCGACGCGGAACCCCCAGTGTTTAGCTTCCAAGCATGCTTCGTACTCAAAGCATGCTTGGTAATCAAATAACTGCTGATGTATTTTTTTTTCTATCTTGTCATCCATACAGAAAATATACTAATTTTCTATCTTGTCATCCAATATTGTAATTCGCTTGATTTCAAAGAAAGTTATTTTTTTCTTGTTTAAATATTAATTTGCAACTCATAATTTATAAATGACTTGAATGAACTTAATTTTTTATCACAGTTTATAAATACACATGTTATAATCGGGACTATAGAGCATCTTGCATGCTATGCAAGAAAATTTATAGAATCTATGTTTATGAATTGCAAAATTTAAATGAATTAAAAAAAATATGTAAGTCAAAAATTTCGTAATTCAAATAATGTCATTCAAAAATTTCGTAATTCAGCAACATTTCGTAATTCAAATAATGTTTAAAATATCATGAATTTATAAACATGGTAGTTAATTAATTCTTGATATTTCATGTAATTTTATTCTAATGGTGCAATAAAAACTAACAAGGAAATTAAACTTTCCTAGCAGGAAAATTATCTTTGTAAACATAATTAGGGTGTAAAAATTGAGAGTGAATTTTAAAATTTAATAATTAATAGCGTGATAGTGTAAGGGAATAAAAAATAAAATTATTGAAATATCTAATGAGAAAAAGTTTGTTCAAATGCAATAATCTCTTATAGCTTTTCTTAGTTTTTTTTTCCGTTGTTAAAAAAAGAGGTAGAAACTGAAAAATGACGTCTCTTTTTTTTTAATTAATTGGTTTTTGAAAGAAAATAAAAAATTAAAGAGATTTTTTTTTTGAATTATACTGTGCTTCATTGTTGGTCTCAAAATTGCATCACATGACAACAACATATTTATTTTTTTTAAAGAAATAATCCCAAGAAACTCAAGCGGTAAGATATTACCCGATTAAAAATTGATTTTGCTTCAAAAATATATAAATAGCAAAAGCAGTCGACATGTTTCAAGGGCTTTAAAAATAGGCATCCATTTTCCAGACCATATTCCGGTCTGGCAAGTCTTGAAAATGGGTGCCTATTTTTGAAGCGCTTGAAACATGTCGACTATTACTTCTAATTTGTATATTTTTGAAGCGAATTAAGTTTTCAATCAAGCAACGACATATCTTTTGTTTGTTGCTTTATTAGTATTAAAGCATCCGTTTTTAATTAGTAAATGAAATTACAATGAAAGCTATAAACTCTTATTTATTTGTTTAATTTGATCACTCGATACATTGCCTCATATTTTTATTACGATTCTTACAAAAACAGAACAAATACAATTTACAAGTATAAAATTTTAAATACGCACATTTAATTTATTAAGAGCTTTGACATTTATTTAATTTTCTTGTAAAAAATTTACAATTTGAAATCTTTATTATCCTCTTTTTTTAAAACTTTGTCCTTTTTGGGGGAATATGGTAAATTAGAACTATTATTTGGGGTGACTGAGTTGCAATCATCGTCTGGTTTGTTGCAGTAGGCCACAGTAGAACTTGGCTTTTGAGTGTTTTTGTGAGTTGTTTTCTTCCGATGTTCTCTGACTAGTTCTAAATGGTGTTGAATGTAGGACTCTTTTGGCGCTATTGTTGTCGCACGTAGCAAACATAGTTCAGCTGCTTCAAGCTCCTTTAATTGGTAATGGACAGCACACAGATTGTGCATGGCTGGTACATGGTAGGGATCTTGTTGCAATATCGATTCATAGCACTAAAAAGAAACATATAGATATTAAATAAAACATGTATTTTATGCTTATTTACAATTATTACACGTTCATGATAGGGACCTTGCTGTAATATCGTTTCATAGCACTAAAAAGAAACGTATACATAGATATTAAATAAAACATGCATTTTATGCTTGTTTACAGTTATTACACGTTAACATCTCTATACACTGATTTTTATTTGTCAGTCGCTCGTCGAATGTAACAAAGATTTGATTGAATGTGGAATAAAATATGTGAAAGAATTCAATGATAAAAACAAGCAATCACAGAGCGATATAAAAAATTGTGAATTGTTAATCGCAGCGTCGTGTAAAATATTAAATGGTGGTAGAAGAGTTATGATAATTTTTGCCGATTTTCAGATGAAATGAGAAATTTTAACTACAGCGGCATATTAACATTTTAAGTAAAAACATCGAGTTCTAAAACTAAAAACGGTTTTAATTTTAATCGAAAGCGAAATCTAAAAAAGGGCCGTTCGATTATTACGTAGGCGTGTTTTTTGCAGTTTTAAACCCCTTTCTCAGAAAAATTAGAATACAAAATGCTTACGTAAGAAATTCTGAAATCTCTCTCGATTTTTCTTGCTTTTACTACTGTAATCTAATTTTAGAAATAAATTCAAAAAAAATATTAATTGTAAAATGAATGAAACGAAATTAATTTTTATCTTATTTTATAAAATTTTTTGCGTTTTCCTTTGGTGATCAAAAATTTTTACCTAAAAAATTCCTTATAAAATTTTTTTTTCCAACTTTTCCTTTACCCAAATTTAATTTTAATTACGAGTATAAAGTTTTACAAGTTTTATGTTTTTCGAAGTTTTTTGTTACACTTTTTGTAATTAAAGAAAAAGAAAATAAGGGGATTTTAGTGACTTACGCAAGCAGTGCTCCTACCTCTCCGCCCCCTTGTAAGTAACAATAAGCAAGTTGCAAATCCCGTAGCCCCCTTAGGTACTTTTGTAACATGACGGTCACAAATTAAATATTTAGTTAGCTTTTGTAATAATGTAAGAGTTTTGTCTTCGTAAGTAGATGTATTTCATAAAAACAGCAAAGAATTGTGCTCACGACGAATTGTAGCGATTGTACCTACGACGAATTGTGCTTGCGACGAATTGTTCCTGCTATGAATTGGGCCCACAACAAATATTGTGACAAGTAGTGTCGAACGAGTAGTGTCGACGAGTATTACGACGAATTGGGTTAGCGACAAATTGTGCTTTTGACGAATTCTGCGCGACGGTTTGTCGCTAAGACGAACTGTGTATGACGGATCAACGCTGGACTTTATGAGAGATGATGCAGAATGTAAAAAAGTTATTATGAGAAATGATGCAGAATGTAAAAAAGTTATTATGAGAGATGATGCAGAATGTAGAAAAGTTATTATGAGAGATGATGCAGAATGTAAAAGAGTTATTATGAGAGATGATGCAGAATGTAAAAAAGTTATTATGAGAGATGATACAGAATGTTAAAAAAGTTATAATGTCGGCAGGATTCAAAAGAGCGTATGCGCAAGCTGTGAGAGTAAACATTGTTAAGTGTGAGTTAGTTTAAGATAAAAAGCGCAAAAAAAGTTATAAGCAAAAGTTTATTGTTCCAATGTCTATACGTTTTTTCAAAATTACTAACACTGCAAGCGCCGGATGAGCACAAAAGCTAAATTCAAAAAGTCAAGAAAATCAATTTTCGGCATAAGCATATATTTAACGAAAAATTTGTCAATAGATTACCTGTTTGGCAGCTGTATAGTTGTTCATATGGTTAAAATAGATGTTACCGAGCAGCACTAAACCTTTCAGATGCTTCTGGTTTAGTTTCTGTAAAAATGGCAGAGCTTCAAGAGGACGATTTGTTTCATAAAGAACGAGAGCAAGATTGAAAAGAGCAGCGTCAAAGTTGGCTTTCAACTGTGAAAAAGTAAAATAAATTATTATTCCATGGATTCATAAGATGGAATGCAAACTATTTCAATTATTTACGAAGTAAGGAAACAAATCGAGGTTATTTTTACGGTTATTTAGCCTTATCGAATTCGAAATGCATTTTTAGGCTCTGTAAGATTCATCAATTATAATTTTGTTTTGCCTTAAAAGTACTTTTCAAACTTGTTTTTTTCCTTGATTTTTCAAAAGATCAATGAATTTTACTGTTTTTTAAAATTGTATGCAGAAAATTAAAATATAAAGAGCTAAGCTTTTGATTTTTCAAGTTTAATCTATTAGTTTAAGCTATTTGCATTATAAAGATTTTTTGTGACAAAAATATTTTTTTACGAGTGTCATTTTTTAATTTAGAAAAAATATTTTAACATTAAAAAAATATTTTCTGCTCCTCAAAAATTCTATAATAATGGCATTAGTTTAATTTTTTTATTATTCACAAAACTTGATTATTTCTTTATTATTTACCAAAATATCGGAAGTCAGTACATTTTTCGAACCATTTTAACGACTTTTCAATTCACTTAATTACTAGATTTGTAAAATTACCAGAGGCGAAAGAAACGAATACATTACACTACAAAAAATTTCAGATCAAATTACGGTATGAAGTATTGGTACTTTGGCTGCATCATCCGTAAAGTCCATTTTAATCTTAAAATCTATTTTTTACGTAAAATCCGTTTTTACCGTAAAATATTACACCATAATTTTTACAGTAATATTCATTTAATTCGAGTGATTCAATGACTTTACGATAATCATTACTGTAAAAATTACGGTATATCAGAAAATTTCGTACTGTAACATGTTCCGGTAAAAATGGATTTTACAGTAAAAAGTACTGGCATCCTGAGTGCCTGTTCTTTTGACCGTAAATTGATCCAGAATTATTTACAGCGTGTTTAAGTTGAATCTATATAACATATAATCTGAATAGTCTGAACATAACCTCTGATTCATATAAAACTACGAATGTCAGGTTCAACATAAATTTATCCAAGTTATAGTCAATCACCTGCAGAGTTTTCCTAAAATAATGTTCAGCTTTTGATATATCTCTATCCTGCATAGCCAGCATACCCATATTGAAATAGGTTCTTTCCGGTTGTTGTCCTTTATCCAGAAGCACCTGCAATCTGAAGCAAAGGTAGATATGTCGATTACTAACATGAGGGTATAGAGGTAGTACTATAATTAACTTACGACACATTAAGCTCTGTAGTCAGATTTATAGATACTTTTATAAAACCACGATTACTATAAATGTAACTCTTGTTAAAGGTCGGGGCATGAGAGTTCAATCCCCCTAAACTAAAATAACTTCCCCTAAAAATCTTTTATAATAAAATATGGATTTATATAAAAAACAATGCTCATAAAATGAGCTTAAAATGTAAAATTGTAATTAAATTTTTTATTTATTTATTTTAAAAAGAGATCAAAGTTTTAAACATCAAAAACCAAAGTTGACTTTTACTTTCAGCGTACGGACAATTGTACATTCAATCCGATCCCAAGTTCAGTACTGAGAAGTACATGGTCAATCACCTTCCAATCCCTATTTAAGTTAGAACTTATTGTAATGAAACAACAATATCAAATAGTACGAGACTGAAACATCCAAAACCAAAGTTGACTTTTACGTTCAGTGTATGGTCAATTGTACATTCAAATCGATCCCAAATTCAGTACTGAGAAGTACATAGTCAATCACCTTCCAATCCCTATTTAAGTTAGAACTTACTGAAATGAAACAACAATATCAAATAGTACGAGACTGAAACATCCAAAACCAAAGTTGACTTTTACGTTCAGCGTACGGTCAATTGTACATTCAATCCGATCCCAAGTTCAGTACTGAGAAGTACATGGTCAATCACGTTCCAATCCTTATTTAAGTTAGAACTTACTTTAATGAAACAACAATACCAAATAGTACCAGACTGCGACGGAATTTTTTCTCTAGCAATAAACTATTGTTCCAACTAATCCATTCTTTTGTTATAATGAAAGTTCAAGGCAATATTTTTTATGGATATGAATTTAATGAAGAAAAGAAATGTCTTAACTATTTCTGAGTATAATGAAACAGAGCACTAAAAAAAAGAAGTAAACGAACTGGTAATACCTGAGTCAGATATTAAAAGATAGCTATAAAAAATACTTAAAAGGAATTGTGAAAGCGAATCTTTTCAAAAGATATAATAGAATTGTATTTAGTTAAGATTGATTGGTTTAATGAAGGTTAAACAAGAAAACATTCTAAACGCACGATATTTCTGTGAAAGATAAAAATCAGGCTAGCTTTTGTACACTTAGATGTCTTGGGAACTAAGAATAAATGGTTAGTTATAATAACAATGATTGATTTAAAAAAAAAATCCAAACTGGCTTTACTGATTGGTAATTAAATGATTATTCTGCGTATACGGAATTTTGTTGTTGCTGATGAAAGTCATTCTTTATTTTTTTATTTTTATTTAAATCATTATTATTTTTTTTTATCTACTGAATGCGTACAACGGCATTGAACTTGTTATTTCGCTCAGAATTTACGGTTTGCATTTAAAAATGCAAATTAAAACGCGCGTTTTAAAAAGTGGACATAATTAAAACTGAGAGTTTTGAAAACTATTCATAACCTGAAATGCACGTTGATAAAATGATCTAAAAACGCGTGTTCCTCAAAATTCGTGTTTGTTAATAGAAATGGGCATAGTGTGAATTGCGCGTTAAGGAAACTGCACTGCGTTGATGAATACGCATCTTTTATAATTAAAGATAATGATCTTAATTTTTTTTAAACATCTACGTTATTCGTAAGAAAATCTCGTACAAAATGAATATGAAAAATTTCGACGTTTTTTATTTTTTTTAAATTTTTCTTAAACATTGCGAATAACCAATGCTTACCAAAATACACTAGTTATAAACAATATTTTAAAAATCAAATGCGTTTAGAATCATTTTCTTAGATAACAATATTCATTTTTTTTCTTCACGCATTGTAAGTTATATCTATTTTTTTAAAAATCAAGCGCATGTTTATTTTGAAATGTTCAAGCTATGTTAATTTTCAAAATTTTGAGTCATGTCCAAAATATCCATGATATAATTTTTGCTGAAAAGATTTAAAAGATTATCTTAAATGTCTTTTTGATGACTCAGAATTCTAAAGTTTTATATGGATTAAGAAATTTTTATTATATTGATTATTCTTTACTAATGTACTAGGTTATTTTTTTAATATAGTAAATTTAAAATACGCTTTACCTTTCATGAGCAAGTCTGCGTAGGTTCGAATCTCCTGAATCTTGACTCAGTATGGCGTAGTTTAAAAGGGATTTCTGAAAGGATAAAATCATAGCAAGATTATTGAAAAATAATTAAATACAAAATTTGCTATATTTTTTAAAAATGTGTTTAATAATTTTTCAAAATAAATTTAAAATAGTTTACTGAAAGTAATCAACTTTATAAACTAATCGATAATATCTTTTAGTCCTGGATAAATTAGATAATGTATTTCGCGAAGTATAAATTTTTATGAACACTGCGTGAAAAAAAAAGGAATCTCCCTGAATTACTTTTGATCTAATGATCGGATCTTCATGAACTAGGCCTCAATCTTAAAGGTTCAAAGAAGTTTCCTTAAGCATGCTAATTAAGTAGTGCAGATGATGTTTTAAAGTGCAAAATCAGACAAAATAATTACAAAAATGTGCTTTTTTTGGAATAAACAAAACCTTGTTTCGTGTGATTAGGATTTCTGGTCCTCAAAATATATGAGTAACCGCAATCTAGGAAGCGGACCAAATTTGGATTCCTTTATGTTAATTTCACCATTTGTGAATTGAATACTTTTCGTATACAATTACAAAATTAGTTTATCCAAAGATAATTCCACGCAAACAATAATTTTAAATAATTATTTATTATTCTTTTCAATAAAAGCAAAAATTTTGAATTATGAGGCATAAAAATTTTTAAATTTTTAAAAAGATTGAAATTTATAAGTCAACATACAAAATTTGAACAAAATTGGTCAAATAGTTCCAGAGAGTTTTAAATATCTGACTCTTTTATAGTTCGATTTCTCAGAAGCATATGCATATTTTACAATTCCAATTTTTTTTTTTTTACGATTTTGAAATAAAATAATGAAATTAAGTAATAAAATTAAATAATAAATGATAAAATAGTAAATACATAATTATTTAAACAATTTTTTGCATGGGTTTACGTTTAGATAAACGAACTTTATAAATGTGCACAAAAATGTTCAAATTCTTTTAAAAAGTTATAGAGATATAGCCAAATACAAAAATTAACTTTGGATTTTAACTTTTGAGATTCAGAAATTCGAATCCTTTAAAAAAAGGTATGTTTATTTATAGGTGGTACTTTTCTGGGTCTCATTTCGTAATTTAAAACATCGTCTGCACCAATTTATTAGCATATTTGAGGTCACACCCTCGATCTAGCTAGTACGTGAAGATCGGATCGTTAGATCAAAAGTTATTCAGGGTGGTTAGTTCTTTTTTGCGCATTGCACACATGTTCTATTCATTATCTTTCTTCCGATTAGGAATTGAACTTTTTTGGCACTTGAGAAATCCTTTTTAATTTGAAAACAAATTATGAAAAATAAGCAAAAAATAAGCAAAAAATAAGGTGAAGAGGTAAATAGAACCTGCATTTTAAGTTCAAATTTTGCATATTGTTGAGATATAAGATATAGTTTAATTTATTGAATGAATAACTACAGAAGTATAATTTTAAAAAAAATATACAGCATAGAAAAAACGAAGAAAGAAAGAATTTGCATCTTAAATCTAAAAGTTTTGAATGTTGTTCAGATATAAGATATAGTTTAATTTATTGAATGAACAACTATTATAGTATAATTTTAAAAAAACATACAGCGTAGAAAAAACGAAGAGAAAAAGAATTTGCATCTTAAATCTAAAAGTTTTGAATGTTGTTCAGATATAAGATATAGTTTAATTTATTGAATGAACAACTGCAAAAGTACAATTTAAAAAAAAACAACAACATAAAGACATAGAAAATACGAAGAAAGAAAGAATTTTGCCTCTTAAATCTATAAGTTTTGAATGTTGTTGAGATAAGAGATATAGTTTAATTTATTGAATGAATAACTACAAAAGGATAATTTTGAAAAAAACAACAACATAAAGACATAGAAAATACGAAGAAAGAAAGAATTTTGCCTCTTAAATCTATAAGTTTTGAATGTTGTTGAGATAAGAGATATAGTTTAATTTATGGAATGAATAACTACAAAAGTATAATTAAAAAAAAAAAGACATACAACATAGAAAAAACGGAGAAAGAAAGAATTTGCATCTTAAATCTAACAGTTTTGAATGTTGATGAGACATGAGATATAGTTTGATTTTATTGAATGAGTAACCATAAAAACATAACTTTAAAAAAAATATACTGCATATAAAAAACGACTAACGAAAAAAGAGGACAGATTTTCTTTACTGATTCTTTTGAGCATGAAGATTCGTGTCACTTCAAAGTAGCGTTTGTAAAGTAAATATTTTGAAGTAAAAGAATCAGGATATAGAAAACAAATATTAGCGCGGCATTCGTCATTATTGATCTATACATATTTGGTAAAAAAAAAAATAACGCTATAAATATTCTACAGTATTTATTTATCGCCCGATGCTTTAATTTCTCAGAAGAAAATTGTGTCATTTGCAAAGTATAATAAAACACAAATCGTTTACACAAAAGGCAATCTTTTTATGTATTTATTGCAATCATTCAGACATATTACTTCAGAATTGTTTTAGAATATTTTGGGTGATATCTATCCCTCGATATTCAGAAGCGTTTCACAAAGCAGAAATTTATTAATCAAGTTTAAAATGGTCTTAAAAAGAAAAAGTGTTTTATGGGAAATAATTAAAAAGTGTTAGTGCATTTAAAAACAGTGTCTGAAATTTTTTACGGAAATGCACATGCATAAATGCGCATTAATCATTTTCAGATTGATGTGCATAGAAATCGAATAAACTTTTAGCAGTGGAGTTATGAATTTTTCCTTTTCGCGGGTTCGATTGCTTCTTCAAAATGTAATTTTTGACGCAAATGAGACACCGGTGTCTCTTTTATATATTTCTTCTGACGTTCTAATTACAAGCAAGCATATATTTTGGTATTTTTTAAATATAAACAACAGTCTAATAGGTACTAAAACAATCTTTTAGATAATCGGAATTATGCTTGTACTAAAATATGAAATTAAAAAAAAGTAGTTCGAATTTTTTTTTAAAATTCATATTTAAAAATTTATTTACAATAATTGATTTTGTAAATTAAAGAAACTTAAATGTTGAATGATTGTTTCTTTGAGGTACTAGAAATAAGTTCAATTTTGAAAAATTATTGTTTGAAAGTGAGCTTTGGTAATTTTCACCTTTAACGCAGAAAAAGACACCAATGTTTCATGTTGTTATTTCATAACTATAATCATAAATTATTAAAATACTAAGCAAAATATCTTTAATTTATTTGATCTAAATTAATACAAAGTAATGAAAAAAGTATGAGAAATATGTTTAATAAAAATTCTGTGACAAAAGATTAATATTATTATAGTTTTTTTAAGCAATTTTCATACTATTTATGTTTATAATTTTGGACTTTTAATTAAATAAAAATTTCAATTTTTAAATAATTTTTTCGTTCAACATGAAGTGATTCTTAAATTATCTCTAGTAAAGACCTGTGATTATAACGGCCATACACGCATTTAGAATCATATAAATTCTGTATCCAACTACTTTAACCAATTGTTGTTCAATTAATAAGATCGAAGTAATATTTTATGTATTTGAATTTGAGGTAAAAGCATTTTAAAATTATTTGGAAGAATTTAAAATTTTAGTTTCGAAAAATTCGTAATATTCAGCGGAAAGGAAAAAAAAACTTTCTAACTAAAAAATTCACGAGATACCTAGGGCTCTTACAATGATTATATTCACCACATAGTGTCTTTTGTATTTATTTTATTCTAAATAGCGCTAGTATTTTCTAAAATAAGTAAATAGGTAATTTAAAAGGATAGCATTTTATTTTTGGCTGTACAAAAAAATAGTATGATATTAATATGAAGAAAAGTCACAGTTTTGAGAAAATTAAAAGTGTTTGTGATCGAACTTTCTGAATTCTTGAAAAGTTCTACAACTCTGCTTTGTTTGCATAGCAAAATTAAATAAAAATAAACAAAAATTGAGAATTATTCAATGGTTCGAATTATTTTCATCTCGGTGGAGAAAATCTCGCCAATTCAGCAAACAAGTTGTCAAAGTGGTAATATTTTTTAAAAAAAAGTTTATAAATTTTTTAAATTGTCAAGTTTTTTACCTGTTTAAAAGCTTGGGCAATGCCTTACAACGAGATGGAATACGAAGGTAAAAATTAAAACATTTCCTATAGTTAAAAGCGTTGGTTCTCAATTTTTTACGGTTACGGAACCATAAATTATGGAGCTTCTTTTGACGGAGCCCCGACCTTCAAATAGGATCGTAATATACGAACAAAAAAAAAAAGAAAAAAAAAACGAATANAAAAAAAAAAAAAAAAAAAGACTACGGCTTAATTTAGAAGAAATTTTTTTTTTTTTTAAAAATTTATTTTTATGTTAAGCAACTTGAGTTTGCAGGTCTGCAGTGATTTCTAGTTTCAAGTTTTTATTGCATTCGTAAATTGAAATAGAATAATATAGATGAATTACGGTTTTTGAAAAACAACTATTTTAAACTGTGAGGCTGGCTAACATAGAGAAATATTTCTTTTATTCTTGAATTTGATTATTTTATTTTGAATTGCAAAGTTTGATGATAAATTCTGACTCAATTATTTGTAAATGCATATTCTTTTTTAAATTCCTTTTCGCTTTCTCATTTTCGAATAATACATTGTTATTGCAAAGTATATATATCGATTTAAATTTTTGTTAATTTCCTTTTTTATTGGCATTTTACTTAAATAATTTCATAAAATTAACAGAAATATTAAATAAATAATAGATTATTGGTCGGTTGAAAACTTAGTTTCAGCTTTCAAAAAATCGTAGTTGATTAAGAAAAATCCTAACTCACGGAGTCCCAGTTAACTTTCTGTGGAACCCTAAGGTTCCACGGAACACCAGTTGGGAACCGCTGGTTTAAGTCACTAAAACTATGTCTTTTTATTTTATTTTCCATGGCGTAAGAACACTTTTAATAGCTTAATGTCCTTAAATTTAATAATTTTTGTGATCTGAGCAAATGATTCAATTTTCCTTACTTCATGTTCTGGATCAACTTGTAAGGCTTGATCAAAGCGAGCTAATGCTTGGAGGGATTTACCTTGTTCTAAAAGTAAAACTCCCATCTGAAAGAAAAAAATCACGTTGAAAATCTTTTATTTCTTTATTTTTTAAGTGAACAAAACATATCATTTTTGCTTTTCGTACGACAAACCTGAAAGAAAACGTATATAAGGAAAGTAGAGTTAAACAAGAGATTTCCAACAAAATGTGAACTTTTTCAAGGATTTTATTCCAAGGCATAATATGAAAATAATGAAGAAATGCTTTGCTTGAAACAAAGTGGCTATTTAAAAGTACTCCGAAAAGGCTCATTGAATTATTATCTCATAAAGACTCTATAGGACACCTATAAAAAAAGATCTAGTAGTTTATTGGTAAAGTAGAAAAAGTAGTTTATTAGTGTAACTAGAAAAATAGTCCAATAAACTAGTGCTTTCCAGTATATGAGTTTGTGGGGGGAGGAGTTATCGACAATGCCAACCTTCATCTATCAAAAGGTACCTCATGCTTGAATCAAGTTAGCCTGTCTTATATACCAATGAATTGATGTTTAATAATAGTAGTGGTAGTTACGCCACATTACTCACCCACCAGAATTTTATCAGGGACAGAATTCGATGAACGGATACCACTAGTTGCTGTACTTGTGAAAGACCGGGAGAGCTGGATTAAGGTCACCGGGTTTTTGAGTGCTGATTGTGAGAGGTGTATTAACTTCACCGTCGTCGTAGTCGCTCCTGTGTTGCCTTTAGCAGTCGAGTGTATGCAGGCTGACGTTGTGCATGATCGAGACGAGACAGAGCAGCAACAGCGTGAGGAGGTAGATAATGTTGCAGTCACAAGTAGCGAGTCAACTATTCAATGTGGACCACCCATCGAAGTAAGCGTTACCAGATCGAAGTGGGCCCGTCAAGATCGGCGTGATCACATTACGTCCGCAAGTCACCAATGTGGAGGGTGGAGTTATCGACAATGCCAACCTTCATCTATCAAAAGGTACCTCAACATAGATTCAAGTTAGCCTGCCTTATATACCAGTGAATTGATGTTTAATAATTGTAGTGGTAGTTACGCCACAAGTTAATACACGCATGTTTTTGCATAAATTTTTTTTTTATTACTGAAAAACTTTTGTATACTTTTGGAACAGTGTAAAAGATAGTTTATTTGCATCAAATGTTCTGTTTAAGCAACATAATAAGTAAGGTAGTTCTGGAAGTCAGGATACTTGTGGAACAAGTTAGTTAAAAGTTATAAATCTATAAATACATACTTATCAATTGAACCATTTTTAAAAAAAAAATTAAGTAAAGAAAAATTATTGCTGCTAATGTAGAAATTTTGTTGCTGATATGGAAATATTTTCGTCAATATAGAAACATACATTGTAAACATACATAACATGGTATTATAGAAAACATAAATAATCTGAAGACTTACTAACGTTGTAAAATAAGTCAGGATTTTGTTGGTCGTGTTTCATCGCTTCTTTGTACATATCATGAGCCTCTTGTGACCTTAAACAAATAAAAAATAAAAAAATAATTAAATAAAAAGAAATTAGAAAACTAATAAATCTTATGATCATTGATTATTAAATACAAAATTAATTACAAAAGAAGTTTCAAGTTACAAAAACACATTATCTTTCCTATCTTAAAAGAGAAATTTTTTTTTCGATTGTTATGTTATTTTATGGGCACGCTTTCTTTTATTTGAATATAGATAGCCTCATGAAAAAATAAAATTTACTCAAACATTTTTAAACTTTTGTAAGGTGAATAAATTATGAACTGAATATAAATTTAACATAAAAAAATATTTTCGTTTTTGAATGTAAAATAAATTTTCGGAATATTATATTTCAAGATTCATCCTAGATGACAGCACTACAAAACTTAAATAATTATTGGTTAAATAATTTCCCATAAATAATTATTTGAATTTTTATCTTCTTCTCAAATTTTTCATGTTGTAAGTAAATAAAAAAAAGAAGATAATTAAATGAATAAATAATAAAATAATTAAGTTTCTGCAATAAATTAGCTGCTGCAGTACCATAAACAAAACTGATTCATCCCAGGTGGCAGCACTAGAGAATTTGAAGAGTAATATTTACATACGGAAGAGACTTTGATATGAATATACTAAAGAAATCCCTTTACGAACTTTAGAATGTTTTTCTTTCTCCACATATAATTATTTGACTTTTTAGCTGCGTCTCAAATTTTTCATGTTATATAAGTAAATAAGAAATAGATAATTAAATGATTGAATAATAAAATAATTAATTTTTTGTACAATAAATCCTGCAGATAGCAGCACCATGAACAGAACTGATTCATCCTAGGTGGCAGCACTACAAAATTTAGAGAATAATATTTCAAACAGGCGGATTTTGATATGAATATAATAAAGAAATCCCTTTACAAACTTTATGATGTCTTTTTCCCCTTAAATAATTATTTGAATTCTTAGCCTTCTATCAAATGTTTTCAACTTGTAAATAGATGAAGAAATAATTAATTAAATTATTAGATAATAAAATAATTAAATTTTGTACAATAAACCCTACAGATGGCAGCACCATAAATAAACCTGAATTTATTTTAAAATCAAATGAACAAAATTTATTTTGAATAAACTACGTTTGTTCTTCACTGGAATCGTTAAGGCAGAAAGTGCTTGTAATTTAAGATAAATTATTATTATTTGCTAAAGAATATTCGCGAAACTACCATAATTTTAAGATAGTAAATGATAAGTCATTTTTTGTTCCACGAATCAGATATAAAAACTAAATGTTATTTAATTTTTGAAATTGTGTAATTGTTGTTTTTATTTATATTTTTAACAAGTAGTTAATATAATTTAAAACAATTATTTCCTAAAAATATCAACATTTCATGAATGTCAATGTACTAGTATAAATTCACAGATGTGCATAAAAAATTGAAAAAATTCTTTTAGATGCCCATTTTGAAACCTTGTAATATTATAAATGAAATTCAATATATTATTTGCAATATTATGAATGAAATTTAATACACTGTTCAGTTTTAAGTACTGTTACTTTAAAAAACCATACCGATTCAATCGCAAAAGAATGCTTGCCCTTTGCATGTATGCATCAACATAATCATTCTTCATGCTGATTGCTTCTTTGTAAAGCTGAAAAAAGAGAATATAATGTAACTGACATGACAACAAGTAAGTATAAACGTAATAAAGAAATTTAAATTTAATTGCATAACACATCTAAAATTGCTTACAGAAATAAAACAAAGTATATGTGATATAATCGAAAAACATACATTTGAAAGTTGAACTGAATAAATTTTTAAAAATAAAGAAAAGTTGTCCAATTAGAAAATAATACTATTAATAAAGATAGTTGGGGATACAAAAATAGATAAAATGTGAAAATTTAAGTTTGACAGACTGAATATATTACATACAACGCTTAGAAAACGAATAATTAAATATCATGAGATGAACGTAATGATTCGTAATGAGCACTTATTAGCTGTTTCATAAAAAAAAAAAAAAAAAAAAAAAAAAAAAAAATCAGCTATGGTGTAAAAAATTCCGGTAAAAAATACTAGCATTCTGAGTGATGGTACATTTTAATGTTCTTTACGGAAACAAAAAATCTGTTATACCGTAATTTTTACGAATTATTAGAGATGTTAAACTCACAATTTCTTATTTTCTTCGTAATACGATGCTTGTTTTTGTTTTGTATAACTTGTTGAAAATTGACTAGTTATGATCAAGGTCGTAAACCCTCATTCTTCCTCTGTGAAAAAAAAAAGTTTGGGTACGTTTCAACGTTGTAAAAAATTCCGAATAAAATTGTAATAAAAAGTACTGACACTCTGAGAGGATCATCTGTGAAATTTATTCTTATTGTTAGGTTTTTTACTACAATTTTTATGGTAATATTTAGTTGATTACAGTAATTATGCAGTAAATATTACTGTAAAAATTTCGGCAATCATTTACGGTAAAAAGCACCGACACTCAGAGTGTCAGTACAGATTTTTTATTCAGTGTAGTTACGCTTTAGCCGACCAACAGACGTTGTTTTCGATTTTAGCCCACGCACACTTTTTAATTGGAAACCAGTGCCGGATTCAGCGCACGTGGGGCCCCAGGCCATTCAAATTTTTGGGCCCCTTAGATTGAATTTTTTTTTCTCGTATTTATTCAAATATAAAAGTATTTATACATCTTTTCATTTCAAAAAGCACATTTAAAATAAAAATAAGTAATAAAAATAAGTTTGTTCATTCTGTTAAATTAGAACTAAAAAATAATCATAAAATTTTATAATCATGACATATATATTTGAAATTGTTTTTTTTTTTTTTTTTAAATTATTGTTTTTCTTAATTTTTTAAAATTTATTTTCAAAAAGTCAATTTTAGGGGGCCCCTAATCATTGGGGGCCCCAGGCCTGGCCTAGTCTGGCCTAATGGATAATCAGACACTGTTGGAAACCCTTGTTCAACATTTTGATTATTCACCGCATACAGATCGAGTTACATTTCCGAAATAAAATCACCAATTATGAATCTTAAAATAAATTGTTCATTCGTATTTATAAATACACTTAAAAAGAAAACTAAAATATTTTATTACTGTAATATTTTCTAGTAGACATTTATGTTAAAATTAAACTAAATAGTTATAAGTATTTATTCGAATAAAATGCTAAATGCTAATAAAATGCTAAATACTAACTTAAAACAATGCGAACTACATTGAAAATAATAGATCATTATCAAAGACTAATTAACAAACCAAAATATAAATCTACTATGTTGTTAATTTTAGCCTGCAAATATATATATATANAAAAAAAAAAAAAAAAAAAAATGTAATACATAACTGTGTATTTAAACGTCAACGAGCATTGGGATTTAGGCTTTACCTCTTGAGCTTCTTCTAGTCGAGAGAGGTTTTGGGAGAGAAGATTTCCTAAGTTCAAGAACAAATCCATATGACGTGGAACAATATGGGTCTGATACTTCTGACCGGGACGTTTCTTTGGCAACAAGTTCTTAGCCTTTGATTTAATGAAAAAAAATTTTCTTTTAAATAATTCAAAATATTTGATGCCAATAAGATCTGATAGCTAATAAGAAAAGTGATTTTTACCTGCCAGAAAGCTTCTTCTGCTTTCTGTATCATTCCCAAAGTATTATACATCCTTCCCACATTCAAATGAGATCCTAGATCATCAGGTTGAACTCTGAACAAAAGAAATCGGTCTTTTATTTATAATATTCAAATTTCTAAGTTCTCCTTCAGTTTTTAAAATGTTTACACTCGAAATTCTTTAGTTTTTCAAATGTTTACAGTCGTGATGGCTCAGGGGATAGAGTGCTCGCCTTCCAATGAGGTGAACCAGGTTCGAATCCTAGCTATGGCTGGTTGATAATAATTCTGCATCCGGCTCGCACAGACCACATTGTTGAAGTAAAATATCTTCAGTAGTAGACGGATCATGGGTTAGAGTCCACTTGCCGTCAGGTTGATCGTGGGAGGTTTTTGTGGTTTCCCTGTCCATGTAACGGAAGTGCGGGTTAGTGTCATCAAAAAGTCCTCCACGAAGGCAAAATTTTCCCAATATTTGATCTAGGAGTTCCCTTGTCATTTAGACTGGATTCAAAATTACAAAGCTAGTGAGTTGAACATTAGTAGCAATAAACCCAAAAAATTGAATTTTGTAATTGAAATTGATTAGTCGGTCTCCCCGGTAATAAGAACTTTTTGAGAATTTTAAAGTGAAGGTATACACAAATTTTTAAAATAATGTGCAAGCAATTAAACTTTTACTTTTGCGTATTAACATACCATGATGCATTATTTTGAACTTAAAATAAAATTAAAATGGTCTCTTTATTCATTTGAGAGTGTGCTTGAATAATAAATGGTTTCAGCTCTGGTCTATTAAACGTCTTATGTGTATAAACTTCTCAAGTTAACTGCAAGTTTTACATTTGAATAATATTTTACATATATAATATAATGCAAAACCACAGAAGTTTAGATTTGCATGTTTTATTTCTAAATATTGAATCTAAAATATACAACACTATCTGCTCTTTTGATAAATTCTTTACCGGAATGTACTTTACTGGAATGTAATACGTGGCTTTGTTAAAAGCTTCTTAGCAGAAAACGTAAAGTTTATTGCCATTTGCAAACAATTTAAATTAAACTCAATTACATTGTCACAATACTAAGATTAATTTAACTTACTTCACTGCTTGTAGAAACAATTCTAATGCCTCTGCGTGCTTTCCTTTAGTTTCCATCACGTGACCCAAATTGTTATAAAGTTTGGCGTTCGCTTTTGTGAAACGCAATCCTGATTCGAACAGAGTCTCTTCATCTTTCCTTTGGGGATTAAAACACGAAATCAACTGGGAAGGTTTAAAAAGTAAAGTTTTAGCTTCAGAAAGTAACTTACCAATCGAAGTTTCTGAACACAGTTCTGGTGGCATTAAGGCACAGAAGAATCACGATGCAGGCACGCAAAAGAGTTTCGCGCTTTCTGAAATAATAAATAAGATTAATTTTTGTTGTGGGTATTATGTTTTCACTTCAGAAGAGTTTCAAATTTAGTACTTCATTATAGTTAGTTAATAACTTGTTTTGTTCCGTAAACTTGCGTGGTAGTTTTGAGAAAACTACAATTAGCGTTTGCAAATTCTCACGGGCGTAGTTTAGGTTGCGAAAAATACTAACAAATAACCAAAATCAGTTATCGGATTCGTGTACCTCTGTTATTATGAATTTTATGTATGGCTTATCGTGACTCAACAAGCTATTTAGAGTAAAACAAAATTGTTGTGAGTCTCATATGTATTGATATTTTGCTAAAATCATGATTTCCCCTATTCCAAAATGCAATAAGATATATTCTTCTAAATCAATTTCAAACTACCAGACTAATATAGAGAGTTTTGAACTATTTTACCCATTTATCATAATATTTGCCGCAACTTTAATTTGTGGAAATACGCAAAAAGTGAAATTAATAAATATTAAAGGGCCTAAGTCCATAGTTTCGTTCTCATGTTCTGAGAATCAAGAATATAAATTCGTCGGAAAAAAGGTATGTTTGTTCTGAGAAAGTTCGCTTTTGGGTCTAATTTAATTTAATTAATAGTCAAAACTAATTATATAACTCGAAGTTAAAGTGTGCTATTCGAACTATGATTTTAAGAATCTTAGATCTTTATTTAGAATGTTATTATTATTTTTGGCTCATTGTACATTGGTAGAAATTTTTTTAATGAGTTGAACCATAATAGTGTTTAATTTTTTTCAACCTTAATAAGGACCTAAGTTGAACCATATTCTTATCTAAACTATACTTAACTAACTTTTCCTTAACTAAATTATACGATACTGTAGGGCGCAACTTGAACGGAAATGGTGCTAAGTTAAACTAAACGAAACTAAACTCAGCGGCGCGACAGCCCAAAGAGGGCCAAGGCCTACTGTGCCCATCTCAGTTTTCTTGACCTTTGGGCTCTGGGGTGCAGGAGCAGATGTTCCGGTTAGGTGGTCAGCCGAACGCGTAACCCCCAGTGTTTAGTACCCAAGCATGCTTGGTACTCATTTATCGACCCGCTGAAGGGATGAAAGGCTGAGTCAACCTTGCCCGGCCCGAGGATCGAACCAGGGACCTGTCGTACGACAGCGCGAAGCGCTACCGCTCAGCCACCGGGCGTCATGTGGTTAAGTTACCACGTTAAAATTGGAACAAATTCGAACCGTATTATGATTATTGTTCAAAGTACAATTATTATGATTCAATGAAATGATTTATTTGAGAGCGTTGGTCGCGTTTACGGAACACTTAACATTAATATGTTAATATGTAACCTTAACACGTTACCTTATATGTTGACAAGTTGTTGTCAGGTTGTAAGGTTACATTTAACCATGTATCCGATCAAGTTCAACTATGTTTCTGTTCCAGTTGAGCAATCTTTTTGTTCAATCTGAATCATAGTATCGTGTTATCAAGTCTGTGAAGTACGATAATATGGTTCAACTTAAAATCTCAATTATGTTGCTGCAAATTTGAACGATATTTTGGTTTAATATCTCTTAGAATTTCGAAGCAGTATATAAAAGGGTAGTATAATATGCATGCGTGATGTTTTCGATAGATATTACAACTTTAACAAGACTTTAACTTAGTAATTAAAAATTTCTTTTTGCTGCTAGGGAAAGAAAACTTTTTAAATGTCAGTACGCTAAATTGGTTCTACGGGGATCTATAAGGTCGGTACCTTAAAACCATAAAATGATGCAAGTTTTCATGGTTCAATGTAATCAAGGTGTTACATTTAACCATGTATCCGGTCAAGTTCAACTATGTTTCTGTTCCAGTTGAACCATCTTTTTGTTCAATCTGAATTATAGTATCAAGTCTGAGAAGTACGATAATATGGTTCAACTTAAAATCTCAATTATGTTGCTGCAAATTTGAACGATATTTTGGTTTAGCATCTCTTAAAATTCCGAAGCAGTATATGAAAGGGTAGCATAATATGCATGCGTGATGTTTTCGATAGATATAACAACTTCAACTAGACTTCAACTTAGTAATTAAAAATTTCTTTTTGCTGCTAGGGAAAGAAAACTTTTTAAATCTCAGTACGCTAAATTGGTTCTACGGGGATCTATAAGGTCGATACCTTAAAACCGTAAAATGATGCAAGTTTTCATGGTTCAATGTAATCAAGGTGTTACATTGAACTATGTACCCGATCAAGTTGAACCATGTTCAATCTAAATCATAGTATCGTGTTATTAAGTCTGAGAAGTACGATAATATGGTTCAACTTAAAATCTCAATTATGATGCAGCAAATTTGAACGATATTTTGATTCAACAATTTCAAAATTTCAAAACATTGTATTAAAAAGTAGTATAATAAGCATGTAATGTGACAGATATTACAACTTTAACTGGACATTAACTTAACTATTGAAAAATTCCTTTTTGTTGCGAGGGAAAAAAAAAACAGTTAAAAAATAAATAAAATTTTTTCTCTCTCCTGAATCCATCTTTTTAGTATTTGAACAACTTTTTCAAAGTAAGTTGTTTTTTTTAAACCCAACTTTTTTTTTAAACCCGAGTTTCCTTTCCGTTTTTTTCCTTCTTTTTAATAATGATTTGCTCTTTTTTATTCGCAAATTTATTTTGCAAAGTTAAAAAAAAGGTTGTTCGCTTAACTACGCAAAAAATATATCCGAAGACGATGTTTTCTTTTTCGTGACACATCGAAGAAAATGTCATAATATACGAAGTTTCCGAAAAGAAGAAAAAAAGAAAAAAAACCCAGTTTTTTTTCTTTAAATGAACAAACTATACTGAAATAAAACTACGTATTCATGCCTTTGGTAAAGAGAAAAAAAATAGCTCTACTTAAAAACATTGACTCTCACTGGGGTTTTAATTAAGAAAAAAAAATTAGCATATTTTATTAGCTTTCAAGTTTATATTTTCATATTAAGATGAGGTTTTCAAAATGAAAAATATTATGTTTAGTCATGAAGTTTTTGTTTAAAAAAGTATTTTTCACCCCAGTTGACTATACGTTCAACTCTTGGATAACAAATACAATCATAAGATATGTGGAAAAAAAAATGTGTAATATTTATTTACAATATTTCACATTTATTGTTAATTTCTCTTCCATGCTAGGTAGTTTTTTAATTGGGGCTTCAATGGCCTGGACCAAAGTACTTGTGGATACCAGTTATCATTATTCAAATCTTTTTTAAAAAATTTCGGAAAAATATTTTACTTATTTCATTATTTAATCGTTATATCATTTATTACCGTCATTATTTAATTTTTTTTTTGCATTTGAGGAAGTAAATAGAAAAAAAAAATGCAAAAGATCTTTGCATTTTGCAAATAATTAAAAAATGGTAAATATTCACGCCGTTTGTGCTGTGTAGATATTTGCCCTATTTTAAAAAATGTATTTTATAATTAGCATAATGTGATTTTGCTTTGTTTTTTATTTTAATTTTTTGTATTAGCTTCTGCAAGTAATTTTTTGTATTAGCTTCTGTTATTTATAGCGTAATTTGAACCGGAATTTTTTACAGTGTACTTTCTTAATCACATATCTCGTCCTAACCTCTCGATATTTGACATAGTGGTTTTTCATAGTGGATACTTGAGTTAGTGGTTTATGTATGGAAAAATGATTTAATAATCCAAGTTAAGCAACTCTTTTCCACTTTCTTACATCCAAACTAAAATATAAAATAACTATGCTTTGTGATATTTTTAAAACATCCTCTACAAATGAAAAATTCTTCTTAGTTACGTGTAAGCATATTCGATATGATGAATGATTTTGGAGAATGATGAATGGGTTTTTGAGAATGATGAACGATTCTTACTTGTAAAAGAAGCAGAGTTTGTACCATCCATGAGCTACAAGGAAACAGTATCCCATACTTGGAATGTAGAGAATTCTTTCTGCTATTACAAAACCTACGGAATAAAAAAGATTCGAAGCCGGCACAAAAGGAAACACGCACATCGAGAGAACCTGAGAAGTGAAATGAAATACCTTCAAAAATTAAATGCATTCAGAAGACATTTTAATTTCCAAAATTATATAAAACATTGCAGTGGTAGCGTATACATTGCACAATAAACGTAGTATGCAATTGAGTATGCAGAGTGTTCCGCATTGACGCCTTAGATATTTGTTTTTAGAAATAAGTAAAAAAGTATTAATTTAGTACATAAAAAGTATTATATTAGTACATATTAGGGGTCAAATAGTAACATTTAAGCGTGAAAAAAATTGAAAACACTATCAAAATCTGTCAAATAAGTGAGATGATATACAACAAAGTAAGTTTTGTGAGATGATTAACACCAAAACCAAATTAATTACCAAGTGAAACTTGGAGCCGTTTTGAATAATTGTTTTTCAAATTCTCTGTATTTCTTCAGGAAATCAAACAGGTTTTGATTCTGCCCCAATAGTTATTTTGATAGCTATTTGTTTTTCCTTAAATTTTAATTTTGATCCTTAATAATTAACATTTATTTAACATATAAGGATAGGTTTTTGCAGCTATTTGTTTTTCCTTAAATTTTAATTTTGATCTTTAATAATTAGCATTTATTTAGCATATAAGGATAGGTTTTGGTAGCTATTTGTTTTTCCTTAAATTTTAATTTTGACCCTTAATAATTAACATTTATTTAACATATAAGGACAGATTTTAGAAAGAACACCTTCTATTTATCATTAATTTTAACGGAGTTTCTTATTATTGCCTTTTTTTTTCATTTGAAATAAAGGAAAAACATTCAAAACAAAATTACTATTTAAAAACAATTTTAATAAGATATAAATTAATCACTTTCTCGTTTTTCTTTACACACTTTAAATAATTTCCGTTTTTTGAATTATTGCATTTACATTTTATTAAAATGAATTGAATGTGTTGGAAAAAAAAGCATACAGCAAAACCCATATAAGTTTGACCATTTGACAAATGATCCGTTAATAGAGATGTTGTATCATTTTTGTCAAATAAAATTGTATAATTATTTAAATGGTTTGAAAAAATAATTATAAAGTCGTAACTAATACTTACTATACAATAATAATGCTTATGTTTTTAGTTTCATTTTTTTTTGCGTTGTTCAAAAATTTCAAATATAACTCACAGTTTATTGGAAAATGGAACAATAATCTAAAATTTATTTTTCAAGTAACCATGACTTACCATTAAAATCGTAACTGATATTCTATTTCTTGAATAGTAATTTGTCCATACTAATTTACATATCACAGCATAAAAAATAAGAGTAAAAACTACTCTTTTGTCAGCGAATGAATGAATTATTGGCACTGTTCCCATCGTCCAATCACAGCAGAGATCTATTGGGAAAATTAGCAGCCAGGTGTTCAATAAAGCAAGATAATGATAAGTTAAATGACGAGAAGGCCATGATTCCGCTGCTGCGGGATTGTCAAATCTATTAAAAAGAAAAAAAAAACAAAAAAAACAAATGGAAAATTTTACTAAGATTTCTTCCATAGAATAAATAAAATAATAACAAACACTATAAAGATCTGCTATGTATACCTGTAAAAAATTCCGGATCAAATTACTGTAAAAAGTACCGGTAATCAGCAAGGGTGTAGTGGTGCCGGATTTATCCAGTATTACGATCCGGTACTTTTTTTGGTAGACGAAATTCCATTCCGAGTCTTTAATTCGAGAATTTTTTTTGAGAATTGCTCGAAAATGAGGTAAAAAATAGTAAACTATTGATTGCAAAATCAGTATTTTATAAAAGCAGATTAAAAGTCGGTGACTTATTTTATGTTATCATTGTTATGATTAACTCACCGACTTTTTTTTTTTGCTATCATTGTTATTTGAAAACCACAGACTTTTTGTCTGCTTTCTTTAAATATTTTATAAGAAATTCTTACAACAATTTTTATTTAAATTTTATCTAAAATGAAGTAATATCTGGAAAATTAACTGAGACCATATCGATTGTTATGAGTTGCATCCAATATTTTGATTTTTACTATTTCGTGCATCATAGAAAAACTTTTTTTTTTTTAATGTTTTAATTATTTTAAATAGAGTTATCTTTCATATTAGATGAAAAAAAAATGTGCGAAGAATATTTGAATTTAAATTTATCTTTATTTACATCCGCTTCCGGTGAATTGCGTTCCGGGAAAAAAATGTTTGCACCACAACACTGACAATCAGGGTACTTTTTACCGAAAAATCAATTCTTACCAAAACATGTTACGGTACAAAAAATCTGATGGGCCGTAATTTTTACAGTAATAACTGTAGTAAAATTACTGAATCATTCGAATTAAATAAATATTACTGTGAAATTACGGTGTAATATTTTACGGCAAAAATGTATTTTACTGTAAAATTTATTTTACGGTAAATGCATCCAATATGCTAGTACTTTATACCTTTAACCAGAATTTTTAACAGCGTAGCAAATCTCATCAATATATTCCTTCTCCTACTGTCGAAATTTCAACGAAATATTATAGTTGAATAAGGCAGAAATGTTTTTTTAATCACATGAATAGCAAATAAGAAATTATGGTGCATATAAATAAGGTTAAGAAGATTCGTTTAGTTTTATTGTTGAAATAAATATTTAGGGATGCATAAATAATAATTATTTTGAAGAAATTCGCTTCACAATTCTGTCGATTACTATACGCTACTGAATTCTGTCGTATCCCAAGTGTTTTAGACAGGATGAAAACAACGAAATACGCTTCATTGCCTGATTAAACACGTAGTTTTTATTTATCGCATTTCATCCTCTCACCGTTTTCACGAAAATCAACCCGGTTTTATGTTTTCAGGGCTGATTTCAATAGTGATTTACTAGATTTTAATTGTTTTTTTTTCGCTTTCATATTGATTTGCGACCTTAATTAAATTTATTTTTTGAGTTCCTTTTTCAAAAGTATTCTTAAAATACATATTACCCAAACATAATGAATACCTATAAGTACAATCACAGTGCAATAAAGGTACAGTAAGTACAAAGAATGTTTATTAAGTTACACTGTAAATTTTTTTTAAATTAAAAATTTTTTTTAATTGAATTTTTAATTGTTTTTCTTAATTTAATATTTTTTAATTTTTGCAATTAGTTTTTTCATTGTCAGTTCATTGTAACTTTTGCTATTTGTTTATGTAATTTGTTTCTTAAATTAAAAAAAAAAGTACTTTTCAATCCATTTTTAGAGTAAGATATTATTCATAAATATCACTGAAACTAAAATTAAACTATTAGAAACTAAAATTAAACAATCCGACGGTACTTAAAAAATTTAAATAACTCTAACCAAGTTACTTGCATATGTAATTCATTTCTAAAAATTAAACAAACAAAAATTACTTTTTAATCCAATTTTATAGTTAGATCTGTTTCAAAAATATCACCTAAACTTAAAGTAAACTGTCCAGACAAGTCCATAAAAAATTTAAATCTACATCAATATTGTTCATTTTATACTTACTTGTTAAAAACAGGAAGTCTATCTCCCATTAATTTCATTCTAAAAATTAAAAGAGCTATTGTACTGACTGCAACAACCAACAGTCGTAGAACTAAGTCTTTTCTCCATGTGGGAGTGGGTCCTTTAATTTTGCCTCTCGGTGCTTTCTCGGGTATCAGCGGTAGAGGGGAGTTCTAAAAAGAAGAAAGAGGAGATTATTAATTCAATACAGAGAGTAAAAGTAAAATGTTAAAATGTAAGCAGCAATAGTTACACAAAAAACAAAGCTGCACAATAAAAAAAAATCAAAATATTAAATATTTCGAACTTTCTTACGTTTTAAAACATTTAAAATATAACAAAAAACCAGCGTTATCATTTACATCATAAAAATACAAACTTCTTAGAGCCATAATTTTTTAAAATATATCACTCATCTTTTTGAAATGCAAATAGATGTTTGAAACATTGCTAAAATGTAGCGTTTATCACTAAAATGTTAAATTTCTAAGATAAATTGTAAAAAATTCTAGATCAAATTACAGTAAAAAGTACCAGTACTTAGAGTGCCGGTACTTTTTACCGTAAAATCTATTTTACCCAAAAAATGTTAAATAATAAAAAATATTAGATACAGTAATTTTTATAGTAATAACTACTGTAAAATCACTGAATCACTCTAAGTAAATGAATATTACTGTAAAGATTACGGTATAATATTTTACTGTAAAAATGAATTTTATGGATGATACATTTAAAGTATCAGTACTTTGTATTGCACTTTGATCTGGAATTTTTTACAGTGTACTATCACAAAAACTTTCAATCATATAAATAAGTAGTGAAATATTTGGTTGAATAAAATTATTTAAACAGAAGTAGGATGTTTCCTGCTTATTGGATTCTTCTGTAGTTTTATAAAATACATATTTATTAATTTCAGATATCTTTATTGAATTTTTATTTTGTTTTCATGTAGCAATATTAAATATTTCAAATTAAAGTTCATTAAATTTTGTTTTCATGTTTTAGAAATATTTCGTGCAGATTGTAATAAATTTTTTTCTTTGATAAAGAATCAAAATGTTCAGTCAAGTATTATTACTAATTATGTTATAATCTGTGTGTGTCTTGTGATGCACAAGTGTTAGTACAATTTATTTATGATAAATAAGCTTTTGTTTAAAGGGAAAAAAGGAGAAGGTTATAGAACATACCATACCTCTTGAACTAATAATATGTCATAAGTAGCACAAACAGCGACTATTGTTATACCTTGTTCTTTACTGAGCATGGCTAACCCTAAGCACAAAATAAAATGCAGCAGAGCTCTGTAATCTGAAAAAAATTTAAAGAGAATTGTAGTTTGTTTACCGTTATATGGTTGTACTCAATTGAAGATGGTTTTTCTGCAATATTATATTACATAAATACATTTTACAGCGAAAGTTCTAATAAGAGATTCGATTTAGGTTGAATGGGTCCAATAGATGAGTTTCTGATTAAATATAAATGTGCAAAATTATTGGAAAAGAAGCTTGACATCAATGCAACAGACAATAGGACGTGAAACACTCTCTATGGGCATTCTCATGGAGGTATTTAGAAGAGGATTACGTATAACGTCGCAAGTGAGTGAATGTCATTGAAGCCGCAACGAACAGAGGCATTTCTAAAGCAAGTTTCTTTTTAAGCTTAGCCTCTACAGTAAGCGTATCTGTTACGCGTTATCAATGCAACTAACTTTAAAAACTTCAAGTGGGAAGTATCTTTGCGACATTGAATAGTGAAGCGGCAGAGTTATCTGGTTGAGCAGCGGTGGCTTAGGGGATAGAGCGTTCGCCTCCCAATGAGATGTCCCAGGTTCGAATTCCAGCTGTGGCTTGTTTTATTATTTTTATTTTATATCGGTCTTTGAACAGCCGACCCAATTTTTGGGTTTACGACTACTAATGTTCAACTCCGCAGCCTGGTAATTTTGAACCAATCCAGAAGACAGGGAAACTTTTGGATCAGTACCCGCATAGGTATTGATTTGTTATGGAAACATGGAGGACTTTGCTACTCGACAGATTTACCGTGCACCAGTAACCATTTACTACACGAGGAGTCTTCGGCCGGCGGGGATAGAACCCACGAACTCTTGGACATGGGCCCAGTGCCCTAGATCCCCGCCCCAGCAGTGACTTGTTGACACGAACTCTGCTCTCGGCTTGCAACAACCACAGCGCTGAATTAAAATATCTTAAGTGGTAGACGGATCATGAGCTATAATCCTCTTGCCGTTTGCCTAGCCGTGGAAGTTTGTCGTTGTTTTCCTCTCCATGAAACATAAATACAGGTTAGTTCCATAAAAAAAGCCTTCCATGAAGGCTAGTTTATCCAATACCTCCTAGAGAGGAATCAAGCCTCACAACGGGTTACTATAGGCGATGATGACGTAGTAGAGTTAGGCCCAGAGGAAAACCAGTCACGGTAGCTATTTTTCCGAAAAAATCCGAATCTGATCAAACGAGCAATTGGCGATATTCTGAAGTATTGTAACCTGTGTACGCATTCAGCCAATTGGCGAATATTTTTGATTAGAATTTGTAAACAACCGTTGGTGTTCTGATGTAAACGTTCTTCGTAAAATTTATATTTATTCTACAAATGTTATAAATTTCAGCATTAATTTAATTCTTAGTGTTATGAATAATGCTATATAAATGCTGTGTACCAAACTGCAGAGGAAATTACAAAGTTGATGGTACAAAAGTATCAGTTTTCTGATTTCCTGAAGATGAAAAATTACATAAGAAATGGCTTGCCGCCATACCAAGAGATTTTGAAGTTACAAAGAATTCTAAAGTGAGTAATATTTGTTTTTATTTTTAAAAATTTAATTATGATTCTTTATTATATTTTTACTTAGAGTAAACTATTTTAAATTGTGGATAAATTAATTATAATAATTAAGTTGTTCTTATCAATTATATCGAAACTATTGTAATAAATTTTGTGTACAATGACAAAATAACTAAATAGCTATTTTTATATATAATAGTTATTTTTATAGAGTTTTATTTTATAAAAATATTAATAATTTTAGTATTTTATTAAATTTTTGCTCAAACTTTAAAACATTTTTGTTTGACCGTAATATATTGTAATTGCTTAAAGCAATTTTTTTAATTTGATTTTGAAATTTAAATCTATTAATTTTTCTACAAAAATCTATTAATTTTTCATGCATGAATATAGTATATAATATTTATTTTAAATGCACTTATAAATAATGTATTCATTTTGTTATAGGTATGTGAGATGCATTTCAAGGAAAATGACATTAGGAAAGCTGTGGAATTTGTTTGTGAAAAAACTGGAAAGAAAACAGTTGTGCCCTATGAACAACCAAGGTTAACAAAGGAGGCTATTCCATCTATATTTCCTGGATGTCCAGAATATATGACCAAAAATGAGCCAATTCGAGAAGAGCCAGAGGCAAAGAGAAAAAGAATAGAAATGTGCCAGTTGGAAAGCGTCCTTGCTGAAAGTTTAGAACTTTATGAACAGCATAATGTAAAATTTAAAGTAGATACTCTAATTGAACTGATAGAAAAATCTAGTTTAGTGGATTTAAATGGTGTTTTTAATCCGGTAAGTATTGAAAATAGTTTTTCTTTTGTGAAAATCAAATTTGTTGATCAGGTTCCCACATATATTACTGTAATAGTTGATCAAAATCTATCTTTAAGTGTTTTTATTGATAATGTAAAGATTAAGAAACTTCATGATTTAACATTTCCTCTAATCATCAGTAATGTTCAGCAAATTTCAAATGTTTTATGTTATTTAAATAAGTCTAATGATCTAAAGTTTGATAATATTCCAAATCTTATTAACTCTATAACTGTCCAACTTACAGAATTAGAAAACTTAAGCTCAGATAATCAAAAATTAGGTATTAACTTTCTAAAAGAGCAGCTATCTTTACTTTTTACTCAAAAAAATCAAAACCGATACTCTACAGACTTTCTCATTTTTTCTTCATTGTTTTTATCTATATCTCCTCATGCATATAATTTTTTGAGAAGCAGTGGTTATGTTATTCTACCGCATCATTCAACTATAAAAAANAAGTTTAACATATTTCAGTAAAATTTGTGTTTACATTTTATTAATCATTTTTTGAATTTGCTACTTAATAAAATATTTGTCAAAGGTTGCTTACTTTATTTTAATTTATTAGTGTGATGGGTAAAAATTATACTTTTTTTAAATGTTACTCAAAGTTTAACATATTTCAGTAAAATTTGTGTTTACATTTTTATTTATCATTTTTGAATTTACTACTTAATAAAATATTTGTTATCTAAGGTTGCTTATTTTATTTTAATTTATCACTTCTAACAATCACACTTCCACAGGAAAAAAATACAAATTATAATCATGCTTTTGATATGTTTTTTTTTTCTATCTAAACCTTGTTTGAAGACTGCATTTGATTTTCTAAATTTTCCTAAGCTTATTTTATGTCATTGTTTAGATACAATTTCTAGTTCTAATAACATGCAAAACATAATCATTAAAATCCAAAATAATCATCTACTAAAAATTTAAGTATCGTATTATAAAAATTAGATCCCTTTCTTAGTTTTATGTCACAAAACTATAATAATAATAAATGTACAAAATCCCTTTAAAAATATATTTCCTTGTTTTTAATCCATACATTTTATAACAAAAAGCTAGATAAAATTTTCCAATTTATAAAATAAAACTGGTATTTAATGCTTAAAAATATATTTTTTTCATTCACACATCAGTTATTTTTGTTAGAGTTGCTTTATTGTTAATCATTTCTGAAAACAAATAAATATATTAAGCATTTTTACACAATTTAAGAAAATTTAATCTAGACAAAAAAAAATATATAATAATTTGTAGCAAGTAAAAAATTAGTAGAAGAGTAACGAAAAAGTGTCGAGAAACGGAAGAAAAAAAACCCGTCATCGTCAAAAGTGATCAGCGAATCTGGGCCTAACTGTATGAGTCATCGTTTTGCGTCCTTCGGCTTTCTTCCCATCTAGGAGGTATTGGTTTATCCCAATGCTTGATCCAGGAGTTCCCATTTTTTCTGGGTTGAGTTCAAAATTATAAAGCCGCATAGTTGAACTTTGTTGATCGTAAACTCAGAATTGGGACAGCTGTTCAACGCCGCTTATGAAATAAAATAAAACTGTGTAAAATACCCCCCAATGGTGTTCTCATCCATTTAAATACATGGTTAATGCAAACAAAAATATTTCTCAAAAATTTACGTAAGATTATCAATTTATGAGTGAGACCTTTTACTAGCGATTGTATTCGCATTTAGAGTATTGAAAAGTTTGGAGAGGACCTCATTTCTAATGACTGAAATTTGCGATTCTAAACTAGTTTCCGAACAAGCTAGTTTTTCAACAAAGCTATTGGCCACCTGGTATTTTTTTGATCAAATGGTAGTGAATCTGATTTATTTAAGGTTGCTTTTCGAAGGCTTCGTCTTCATATGAAATGGTGCTTTTTTTGCGAATAATATGCAAGGTTCATAACTGCTGTGAGTTGGCACAACAGTTGCTCATGACTGTGAGGACAAATTTAGCTTTTCTAAATCTGGCGATTTATGCTTTGGCTGAAAATGGCGCAAAATGTCAATATGGAGAAAAGCCACAATTTTGTGGAAATCAAAAGTGTTTGCCGACTAATTTTTGAACATTTAAAGACTTACTTCTTTGCTGCATTATCTGGGCTCATAAAAATTTGCAAAAGATAAGGCAGTGATTTTTATAATTTTTATCTAGATGGAAAAATGTCACCAAAATGGCGATTTTTTAAATAGTTTAATAACTTTTAAAATATATGATGGGTCAGTATATTTATGATAGTTTTTTGTCCGTCCAAGCTAATTCTTCACTGCAAGATGATATAATATAGTTCAAAATCAGCGTTTTGCTTCAAGTGTAAAGCACTTAAACTGTGGTTTTTATATTCCTTGGCCACCGAGTTCGAAAATCTATGTTAAATAAGTCTTTACAGCCTGCTGGTGCTTTTACATGTAGAATGATTCTTAAACATTATACTATCATACTAAATAACTTATTCTTTTTAAAATCTTACCATTGTTCTGACGTCTGGATTTGATATAAAAATGGAAAGCCAAAAGTACGAATATTGATGAAAGCAGTTCAGCCCTTCCTACCACACCAGTAACCTAAAAGTAAAAAAATAAAAAATAAAAAAAGGCTTTTATTAGAAAAAACTAAATGGGAAATATCAATATAGCAGTTTTACTCATTATTTTTCAAATACAATGATTTATATATTAAAATCTACTTTAAAACACTTTTCAAAAATAAAATTAACAAGTGAAGTAAGTTTATTAAAACTTTTTAAACAATGAAATTTTTTAAATAAAGTTTTTACAATAAAATTTCATCAATTTTTTTTTATTTTATTGAAAACTCAAAAGTTAGCTAAATAACTTTTAATTTCTTGTAGCTGATTATCCGACTCGCTTTGAAAAGATATTTTCTAAATCTACAACTACATTTAAATCTACAACACATATAAGTATATTTTATTTTCATGCAAAAAAAAACTAAAAATTTTTTTTATTTATCCAAAGTTTATTTTAACCTTTTTTTTTCTTTAAAATAAAATAAAATTATATTTAATAAAATTTTTAAATTAAGTACAATTTTTCAAACCAAAATTTATATTATTAAATAATTATTTTTTTAACATAATTTGCTTTCCGCATGTCTTCAAAATAACCGGTAGTTTGAAAAACAATGACGAAAATAAAATAAATAAAAATTGTAATGAATGGAGATGCACGTTTGCTGAGTTTTGTTTAGGAAATCAGTTTTAGTTTCATCCACTTTCAACAATAGTAAACAGAGTATGCCAACTGAAAACAACAATAAAGCAATGTTTTCAAAATTAACAGACGTCTGTGCAATAATTTCAAGCTGAAGAAAACATTATCATATAGTTTGTCTATCTTTCAGCGTCATCTATTGATGAACTTTTAAACTAAATTTAAAATAAGGTGAGAATAATAACTGGTTTGCTTAGCAAAAACCATACTCAATAAAATGTGTATTTGGATAAAGAGTCATAAAGGTAATAAAGGTAAACATTGAAATCAAATCAAATTTGTTTTCCTGCGAGAGAAAGGCGGTTTTTCATTACATTTTAAAATATAAATTATGTTATTAATTAAATTTAACCTATACGTTCTGGTGCAAAATTTAAATTCTGTCGTTATTTATAACTCAAAATGATTTATGTTTACCCAATGTTTGTTTTAATAAATATTGAATATAATAAATTTACAGCACATACTATTAAATCCATTTAACTCATATATTCTTGTATAAATATTCAATAGTTGTAATTTTACCTGTTTTATGCTTACATAGAATTTATCATAAATTATTATCGAACCTAAAGCACTGATTTAAATCAGCTATCCGAATCACTTCAGTGATTCGATTCATTCCAATCACCTGGATGATTTCCTGCTTTAAACTTGCACTTCCACAAAACTCCTCGCTTTTTTTTAAAAATAATCTTGAAAATAAGAAGCGTACAGCATGTGCACTGTAAAAAACTTCGGGTCAAATTACGATATAAAGTACCGGCACCTTGGTGTAATATCCGTAAAATCCATTCATACCGTAAAAATTATACAGTAATTTTTGCAGTAATAATTATTTAATTGAAGTGATTCAGATATTTTATGATAATTATTACTGTAAAAATGACGGTATATAAGACTTTTTGATCCTTAAGATGTCCTGGTAAAAATGGATTTTACGGTAAAAAAGTAATGGCACCCTGAGCGCTGGTACATTTTACCGGAATTTGATCCGAACTCTCAACTTTACTTTATGCTCTGGCTTAACCTTTCAATGCTAAAGTTAGTTCATTAAAGTTAAGTCATTAGGTTAATAACTAATTATTTCTTACTTTCTAACCTTATTATTTCTTGCAAACAGACGTTAATAACTTAACCTAATGACTTAAGTTTTCATAAAATTTATGATAAATATTAAAAAAACAAACAAACTTACTGCTTCAGAATGTATTGGATGCACAGCAAAGAGCATTGCAGCGACAATGCTTGTAGTTTTTGATAATAATTGACGACAAAATCTGTTAGAAATAAGAAAATAAAATATTTTTTTAAGAATCTAATTTTTATAAAAATATTTCATAATTTTCATAAAAATATTAAAAATTTTCATAAAAATATCAAAAATTTTCATAAAAATATCAAAAATTTTCATAAAAATATTAAAAATTTTCATAAAAATATTAAAAATTCTCATAAAAATATTAAAAATTTTCATAAAAATATTAAAATTTTTTATAAAAATATCATAAAAAATTGTGTAGAAAACTTTACGGTAACAATGTAACATCCATATACATATGTATAAACATTAAAAAAAAAATCAAGAATTTCAGACAAGTTTGTGCAATGCAGAAAAGCATTTAATTATTTGTGTTTTAGCATTTCAATATATGTGTGATCTATTAAAATATATTTATATATTTATTTTATTTATTTATTATTTCTTGTAAACAAACGAATAGTTTTTAAGACATTTAGGCCTCCTCTCTCTTATTTTATTTATTTATTTATTTTTTTAGTAAGGGAGCATACAGCAATTCAAATTAATAACCTATTTCATATAAGTTCTTCAAATCTGATAGAAGCATTGATTTGAATCAGTTTTCCAAATTACTCTAGTGAACTGATCCAATTGATCCAAATCACGTTGATGATTCCTTACTTTATATAACGCATAACACGTTTGTTCCTCTAAGCTCTTCACTTTTTTAAATGGCGTTACTAACAAAAAGTGTATAATAATAAAATTAGGAAAAATTGGTACATCAATATTCAGAGCATTTATCGAAGAATCACATTGCCAACCTATTCGCCAAATACCACTGAAGAATTCTATTAAAGTTCATATCACTGTCACCCCATTCTTCGTAAACCTAATAGAAGCATTGATTAAAATTGAAGTGATTTAAATCATTCATCTAAACTACTTCAGTGAATTGATCCGAAACATTGTGACGATTCCCTGCTTTTCTTAACACGCTTTTCCTCTAAGCTCTTCACTTTTTTAAATGGCGTTACAGACAAAAAGTGTAAAATAAAAAAAAAGAGAGAAAAAATTGATACATCAATATTCAGAGCATTCACCGAAGAATCACACATTGCCAACCTATTCTTCAAATACATCAGTTCTAAAATGCGTTTTAGATTAAAATGTCAATAAATCACAAGGGAGAAGTGCATTTTTTTCCAACGAGTTGTCTGCCCTTTTAGATAACCACGTCTTTGCTGATCATCATTTTTCTGGTCCCCCAAGAAACTCCCCCTAAAATGTAATTTTTCATTTTATCACCCCAGTGCCCTAACATTGCATCACGTGTTTCCATCAACTCCAATTTCCGACTCAGAGAGTCTAGGTAGAAAAGGACCAATATCAATCTGTTTCCCTACGACAGAAGTGTAACATTAGTCACACAGTATGCTATCGATTGAAATTCCAAACAAATTGCAGTCTTGTTTTATTATTCGGAAAGTTCTGCATATGTTTGTAGATAGCGTTTTGTTATTTGGTTTTATTGAAATGTAAATTTTTTTTTGAAATGGTCACTCAGTATGCTATCAACTGAAAATCCAAGCATTTTGTAACTGCGTGTTATATGTTAGAAACCTTTACTTATAAAATCTTAGTTAATGTTTTATTATTAGGCTTAGCTATTAGGCTTAGTTAGTGTTAGCTTGTTTTCCAAGAAGAAGGAAATTGTATTATTATTATAGACTTACTATCAATTGAAATTTCAAATTATCTGTAACCATAAGTTATAAGTTGGACAGCTCTCTATATAGATTTTAGTCAATTTTTATTATTTGGCCGACATGTTAGGTTGTTTAAAAAGGAGAAAAAAATATTATTATTATAGACCTATAGTGTGCTATCAATTGAAATTGTAAATTATCTGTAACCATAAGTTATAAGTTGGACAGCTCTCTATATAGATTTTAGTCAATTTTCATTATTTAGCCAACATGTTAGGTTGTTTTGAAAGGAGAAAAAAATATTATTAGAGACCTATAGTGTGCTATCAATTGAAATTTTGAATTATCTGTAACCATAAGTTATACGTTGGACAAATCTCTGTATAGATTTTAGTCAATTTTTATTATTTGGCCTACATGTCAGGTTGTTTTGAAAGGAGAAAAAAAAATATTATTATAGACTTACAGTGTGCTATCAATTGAAATTTTGAATTATCTGTAACTATAAGTTATAAGTTGGACAGCTCTCTGTATAGATTTTAGTCAATTTTTATTATTTGGCCTACATGCCAGGTTGTTTTGAAAGGGGAAAAAAATATTAAAATACTAGGATCATTCAGTCGAAAAAGCTAAATATTTCAATAAAAAATAATTTAGCTGTAAATAAAAAAAAATAATTAAGAACGTATTTAGTTCTGATGGCTTCATTTAACAAAAATTCTTTCGAAGGGAATGGTAATTTTCAAAACGTTTGAACTGCTAAATTATAATTTTTAAAACACACATTATAATTTTTATCTTAGAAATATTAAAGATCTTAACTAAGTAAGTTGACTTTTAATCTAGTTTTTAATTAAAGTTATGTGTTTTAACAGTTTTAAGTCATATTTAGAACACACACGTTTAAGATTAAAAAAAAAAATTGTATATAACATTAAACTTAGAGGTAAGTACAATTTTTAAGAAATAATATAAACTGGGATTCAGTTTACTTAAAGTTTAACTCAAGTTCTGTATTTTAATTTTGTGCAAATATTAGCTAAAATGAAAATTTAAAAATAAGCTCTTTAAAAATTATTTCAACGACTAAGTTGTTTAGCTTTGCAAAAAGATTTATTTAAAAAGATCATTAAAATAAATATCTGTGAGGTAAGAAAGCACTCTGATAGAATAATTATTAAGACAGTTCTTTAAACACCCTTTTAAAATTAATAATTCTAGTTTTTAAGAAAGCGTTAAATAGTTAGTTTTAATGGTTTTAATCAATTTAAAAAAATTCATATGTAAAATGATAAAATTAAAAATGGAAGTAAACCTAAAATTTGTTTTAAACACTTGAATCTTTCAAATGCTGAGATTTAGATATGCAAATATTTAACTCGTCAACTTTGTCAGACAGTTGATCTGCCATATTTAATTTTAATATATTCATTTATTTAATAACAACAGTTATTCATGTGCACATGAAAGGTTATTTTGAATTATAAGAGGGCACACGTATGTTAAACATTTAAACTCGGGGTTCATCTATTTTTACACCGACTTCGAAAATTTCATTTCGGGGCAAATTCCTTACTTTATTTTATAAAAATTTGAAATAAAAGTAGTTGGAGTCTAGCAGTGAGTAAAAGTTTAGTTTATTTATTTATTAAACGACATTTACAGATTACAGTTAATTTGATTTAAGCATAAGGTCTAATTTGTTTTGCACCGCACGTTAAAACTAAACTCCTCTAGTTACGCTCAATTTGCGCTTTGTTTTCCTATCTTGCAATCTGGCAATCTTGTTACGAAAATATTTTAAATCATTCTTGAAAAATTTCCCGTTTGTGTAAGTTCATTTGAATTCGCAACTCGCTTTATAGATCATGTTTTATTCTGTTTTCTACTTATATTTTCTGTTTTTACGCGTTATTTTTACTTATTGTGTTCTATTTTATTTGGTCTAATTTTTGTAAAAATTTTTTGAGTGCTCCTCACACTATTGTATTGATATATTTTGCTTTGGCTATATTGATGAAATATTAGAAAGCACTCTTCTTTGAGGATATAATCGTGTGGGCTGATGAAAAGATTATATCTTCTTTTTTTCCGGATTTTTAAAAAAAATTTTATCATTTTTTTCAGATTTTTATTACTATTTCCCCCCCTTTTTCATACGAGTATATCTGTAATTTTCCTTTGTTTTATCTTCATTTTGAACATATATATATATTATATATACCTCCTTCGGTGAAGAACTGTCTTTCAATCTCGGAAATAACTTTCTTTCACTTTCTTAGAAGCATAGTTTTCTTCTCTAAAAGAAAGCTATCTTTTTTAGAGTTAATACAGAAAACATCGTGCGGATGAGATTGCAAACCATAGCATTTATCGTTAAAATCAATGTGCCGTCAGCTCCTTTTATTGATATGTTGATTTGATTTGTTTGATTGATTACATTGACCGCCACGTCGCAGCAACAAAACCCTTTTGTATTCACAACTTATTCACCGCGATATCCATTTTTGCCAAAACTTTTTGAAGTTCAAGACGTGATTCGAAACTACTATTAATAGCTCTATATGACTTGATTCTCATAAAATAACTTTTATTTATGGCTAAAAGTTTGTTTTAAAATTTAAAAAATTCTTTAAAGTTCTACGTTTTTAAATCAGCTAATCAGCTGATAGCAAGCTTCCAGAATTTTGTATACCATTAAGAATTAACTTACAAATACATCTATCATTATGTATTGACAGAGCACTCCACTAATTTACATAAATGTTATAAATGTTACCTGTGGTACAGAAGGCAAACAATGACGTGAAGGATTACATTAACCAGATGATATCCAAAGGGCTGCAACTCATGGATTAAATAATTCATTCGAAATGTCAGCACACAAAGAGGACGATATGATTTATGGCTCTCTTCCTAATTTAAAAATAAACAATATCTTCAAATATTTGCAGTTGCTAGATAGTAGAGAGGCTTTATTCATTACATGAATTATTATTATTATTTAAATTATAATTATTATTTATAATTCATAATTATAAATAAAATATTGATTAATTAGTAAAATTATATTATTTTATTAAGTGTCGTGATAACAAATTATCAGTACAATGAAATCTGTGAGAAAAAAATATAGTTTGCACAAAATACCGCTAAAATAAAATATTGGAAGAATGAAATCTAGTAACGACATTTTGTTGCCAAAAATAAATTCTAGGTAATACAAAATATCGTGAGAAAAATATATGTGGGATAAAAATCTAACGAAGACATATCATATCGTATTATTTGTTATTACTATTATACATTACCAGTATTATTTGTTTCCATGAGTTTGTTTGGATCTTAAATTTGTTTATTATTCAGAATTTAAATATATAGATTGTAGATATACATTTAGAAAAAAAAAAACTAACAAACCGATCTAAATGCTTTTCTGAATTATATTATACAGAAAAACAGATAAGAATGAACACTGAAAACGATATATAAAATGCTTAGAAATATTTCGCTCTTTCAAATTCGCTTTTTGTTAACGTTTAAATCTCGTCTGCTGCCGAGTTTAGACAGAGAGAATCGTCTGCTTCTCTTAAAAATGTCATTAACTGAAAGATTATTTCTGCATCGGAAAATTCTTGTTGTAAGAATGCTTCATACGAAAGCACATTTGTATTTTGATTGCATTAACTGTATCTGAAAAACATCTTTCTCGCTTTAAAATATTTTTAGAACGATTCGGAATAGATTTTGTTGCTTTCAAAAAGCTTTCTTTTCCTGTTTAAATCATTGAATATTTCCCTGTAGGGCGCTTATGTTGCAAGAAACATGAATAAAATGTATTACTTTTCATAGAAATCTCGTTTTTGCAAAAACGAAGCCTTACATTTAAAATTCTTTGAAACCTTTAAGTTATAAAAATGGATTTACTGAATATAAAGATTATTGTCATCATTGTAAATTTCACACGTCTCCAAAATAGCAGAAAATGGAACAAAGCAAAGAATTTACATGTCCATTATAAATATCACTCTCCTATTTTTGGTATACTTATTTTCCATTTGTCAACTTTTTTTTTAATTTCCCAAAATTATTTCTCTTTACAATAAATGTTTTTCAAGAACGCATGCTATACTTAGCACGAACATTTAGATAATTTTCAAAAACATCACATTTTTCTCAAATTATTTAAGTCATTGATGAATCATTATTTAATACTAGTTCAGATTACAAATTAGGCTGTCACAGTGAAGAACGTGGGTTCAATCCCTGGTAGCGGCTAGAAGCCCACCTAGCTTCAGATAGAAGGGTACCAGCTTGTATGGAAAGTAAGGGCAGTTGGTGCGCCATGTCGCTATCATGACGTTGGTCTCGAAATTGTGGAGCATTAACGTCCATGATCCCCTTGGCTGTTGCGGGAATACTTTACTTTACGAACTGAGTATGTTTAGTTGGAAATGAAAAGATATTTTAGAGGTGAATTTATCGGTGGATCGCAAATCTTGATTTATATCAATATATTTTTATGGTATTCAAGTTAGAATGTTTCAATAAAAAATCTATATACACTCTAAAAGTGTTATATGTAGGTAAAGAAAATGAATATAAAATTAGTCATTTATATTTTTATCAACTCATCACATAAATGAATTCATCATATAACAGAAGAATAATTAATCATTTTCTAAACTTAGATACAAAGATCTAGAAAAAAATTACTGGGCTAGATTATTCAAAATTATTATGAAATGATGAAAACGAATAAGACTTCTCTTTTATGTGAACAAAAACCGTCCGCATGACGAAATTTCGTGATTTCAAAGACAACCATTAGTTGCTAAATGGCGAAAATTCGTCCTTTGTATTTTAAAAAATGTCAACACAAATAATGCCCGAGATAAGCATGCAAAGTGCAGTTAGAACAAACAGCTTCAAAAGAAAATACTTTAAGACAAAATTTTCTATTATGATATATAATGCAATATTGAAATTTGTAAGTTGAAGTGTATTTTTTCCAAAATTATTTCGTGTATCTGCTTTTCGCAATTAAAATTAAATGTGCTCATATTTGAGTTTTTTATAGATTAAAAAAAATAATATATTTCAATAATACAGTGTGGGCAAAATTCTATAAAATATTTGTGATGTACTATGCATTATTTTTATAAGAAGAAAATAAATGAGAAAATGATAATTATTTTAGAAACTTTTAGATAAAGAATTATAAAGTAAAATATATCAATAAATAATAACAATAACAAAATGAAAAGAAAAATAATTTAAAATTATTATCAATAATATAATTATTGCAATTAATTATAGATAGTTATTTGTTTTTTATTCATATACTTTATTTAAATAATTAAATCTTCAGAGTAGCAGGTGGGCATGAATCCCCTTAAAAATAGTTACGTCCGGTTAGTTAAGCATCCGGAATTTGATTAATGCCTACTATTTCTAGGCAGAAAAATGATGGTAATTTTTGTCGTTGTAATGGTAGTTTATTCACGTCGCCCTAGGCAGCACAATGGGCTATTGGCGACGGTCTGGGAACCATTCCTGAAAATGATTTGAAGACATGCCATCACAATTTTGATCCTCTGCAAAGAGGGTAGCTCTCCTGCTTTTGTTGCCCGACGACTAGTGCTTAAAGTCGAGCACTTTATGGTACAACAGTTTAACAAGGACCGTTTTTAAAAAGTGCTTAAAGGTGCTTATTTTCGATTTTCGTTTTTAAAAAGTCCTTAAAGGAGCTTTTTTCATAGGGTGTTTTTAAAAAGTGCTTAATTTTTCCTTTTCCAAATTGAGATTTTTCCTTCACCATGTTGATTTTCGTTACGAATTATGCAAAAAGACACTGTTCACATTGTTCTATTTAACGTTTCCACACTTAATTCAACCCCAATCTATTTCGGCTCATAGTCAGTCCTTAGCGTATGAAAACGCCATTTGATTTACATGATTCAAAAATTTTGACATAACGGTTAAAACCAAATAAAACCGTCAATTGTCCGAAACTTTCCAAACCTGCTTAGTTATGATATTTTTTTCAAAGTGCTTAAAAATATTATTTGAGTGCTTAAAAGGTGCTTATTATTTGTTGCATTATTTGACTACTCACCCTGTGCTCACCTTCTGTCCCTTCGTACGCTCAACAAATCTGATCACAGCCAGTGATGTCTGATTTCGCTGATCTACTGGGAATTATGCCTTGCGACCAGTCCTCTGTGGGACTCATAGTTTTTGTTGGGAAAATACAGTGGAACCACAGTTTTACGTTATCTGTTTTGTACGTTTTCCCGCTTTTTACGTCATTATCTTCTGCTCCGTGAAAATTGCCTATACCGATAATGTTAAATTATCGCGGACTTTATGTTACCCTTTTTTTAAAAAAAGAAAATCCTGCTTTATGCGTTTTTCAAACAGTTCAAAATAATTTATTACTCAAACGTTTTTTTAAATTTTTCTTTTTTAAGCGAGACTTGTTTATTAGATGTTTTTAGCCTTTCTGGCTTACTTCCTATTCTATCTTATTGTTCTTTTGTATGTGATGGTACATTTCCCCCTCGAGTCAAATTCGGAAGTGTGGTGGGATCGCACGGGAAGTGATATTAAAGGAAATACGGGAGCTTAAATTGTAAAATTTACGAGTGGAATTTTTTTCCAGCAAACTTCAACCTTTGAATCTTGGAATAATTCAATCATAAAGAGCGTTACACTAAATAACTGCTTAGGTAACCATTTCTTTCTCTTGATTCCAGTGACCTGCAAGATGCTTCTAAAGTAAAAATAAATGTTCAGTAAGCTCTGAATTAGATTTCGGGAGCGGTTGGACAGTGTTGACTAAAATGAATTACAAGTGGGTGCAACAACGATTCTCCGGGTTAATTGCTTCTTGGAATCCCACTGGAACATGGACCTATCGGAACGAAATTGCATGCTTGAAGATCTTCCGAGGGCGATGACGCAACCCACATTCATTTTCAATTCCTTCAATATCTGATTTAATACCTGCTCTCGGTGATAATGATAAAAACGATGAAGATGAGCGAAAAATATTGGAGGATATACCTACAAGTGATCAAGAGTTTGAAAACACGAAAACTTTGAAACATTTGCGGATGTAAACCTCAAAGCAAATATGCAAACAATAGTATTGAGAGGGATATTTTTATAATTGTATCTAAAAACAAAAAATATTTAAAGATTATTTATTTTTCTAATAGTTCATCACGTGAATGTGAATTTTTGAAAAATATAAAAAAATTTTTTACCCTGATTTTACGTTATGCTTTGTACGTTTTTTAACGGTAGTCTGACAGAAAACATAAAATCGGGGTTCAATTGTATATATTTTTATAAGGAAAGTTTAATAAAAGAAAATTCAGTTAAATGAATTAAATGTATTTTTCTTTATACAAACAGTGATACTTTGGAAAGTAAATCTTTTAAAGTAATTTTAGCATTTGTGTGATTTCTTAAAAACTTTTTTTCTTTTGATTGCACAATTTAATGACTTACTTTTTTCATAGGAGTACCCCAAAAGTCATTCAGGAAAATATTCAACCAAGGTGCTTTTGGACGAAGATCCATGTTTTCAATGATTGCTGGCCGATCATCAAAAACTAAGCCACAGTTCAAGCTGTTGATGTAGCAAAGGAAAGAAGAGCTTACATTTAAAATTCTTTGAANCATTTCAAAAGGTTGATGAAATTTAGTTTTAACGTTTAGAAGAATGCTAGACTAATAATCTTCTTTTCAAAAATAAATTTATTTTCTGATTTGAAATGTCACTAAAAAGTTTTGTGACTAATACAATGCCAGAATGTAATTTAGTTATTCCTTTGCTTTAATCATTTTCGTTTTACATCAAAGCTTCTATGTGAGCTCCAGTCGAAATATAAAAATGAATACCAAATTTTTCAAAATTTTCTTCATTTTGATGAAACTATGTTTTGGGTAATTTTCCGAGTGAATAAGTCGTCAAAGTGAGGAACTGTAATCCGTATTTGCTTGATGATATTTTTTTTTCCAATGCCCACCTGTGTTAACATCCATTAATTCAGGCATATACAGGGCGATTTTGTTGGCCTCTCTTTCAGGGGCACCATATTAGGTGGGCCAACGTCACTCCCACAGTGAGGACAGATAGTACAGAGAAGGAAAGAATATTCATGCCTTGCCCGGAATTCGAACACAGAACCTTTCTGATGCAAGGACAGTTCCCTGCCCCCTACACAGGCCGGTCGGCTGTTTGATGATATGGATATCGTCATAATCATTAAATTAAAAAAAAAATGAAACATATCGATTAACACAAGAAATATAACTAAAATAAAAACTGTGTGTGACAACTCAGTTATTGCCTAGAATCAAACCTGGAAAACAGGTGCCCTGGTAACGCCTTAATGGACGCCGTTAACTGAGCTAAAAGCCGAAACATAAATATTTTCCTCCTCCACGCCTCATCTGTGCTCGTAGTATAAATAAAAATCGGTTCAAAAGCTTGAGGTTTTTTTCTTCCTTAAGAGTTCGTTACGTAATATAACCGGTTGACCCTCTTTCCTGGCATCGGAGATCATCTTAATATGAGGCAAGTTTTTTAAACTGAAAACAAAACAGTTAAGAGGTTTCTCCCCAATCTAGTAGTGTATTAACCGCATCTCTCACTGCGCTGGTAATGAGCGGGTGGTTGTGAGTTCGATCCAGGGTGCCGATTGAGCAACCGACGTGATTATACGCTAAGGTGCGCTTTAAATTTGTAGTGGCTGAAATTCCTCTCGTTGGCTGGGGTGTGGAAGTTTGGGAAGAGGAATTCGAACTCAGACGCTGTTCACGTCGTCTATCCGGGGTCAAAATTACGTGGCATTCCTGCCATGGCTGTCAAAAGATAAGAATCCTGACAAATGGGACTTGGCCATGGTTGTATAGAGTGTTTTGGACTATCAAGTGAACTAAAACTTGTACCATCTCAATATATTGCGCAAATTGTTTCAAAATCAGGTAAAGAATATTGAATGGTGAAAAACGAGTCAAAATGCTATATCAAATGAAAAATGCTCCACCATGGCCTTAATTTGACGTTAATTTGTAGGTTTTTCTCAGTATAATTTACTATAAAGATTGTTTGTTACAGTCAAATCTTCATTTTACAGCAATATTTACCTAACGAGTGAGACTGAACGTGAGAGAAATGAATTGACTCCCAAAAAGTCCTGAAATAATACATATAAGTGAGGAAACAATTTCGTCAAATATTTAGGAGTTACCATTTCGTCAAAAATAGCGTGATTTCGTGAGAAAACGATGGAAAAAATAATGAAATAGAACTAAAGTTTGACTGAATTGTTAAAAATAAGAGTTTTGTTTTCGAAAGTATGCAAGGCATATGCAAGATGAATGCAAAAGTTGCAAAATCTTCCCTAATTTCATATTTGTTAGAACTGTTTTGTTATGAATAAGTTAATTTGACATTTTTAGTAAAATCACGAAAATAAGCCAACTTACGAATACTATACATCACAGACTAAAGAAGAAATCAGAGTTATTAATGATTTAAAAACTTGTTAAATATTTAAGAAAATAGATTTCGAACAAATGAAGAATTTAGTAACTTCAATGCAAGCAGTATTCCAAGCTCTGCAAATATCTTAATGATTATATCAAATTTTAGTTCAAAAACACATTGTTTTACGCTCTCTGTTTAATCGGAGTTGTATCCCTTTTAAGAATCGTGCCTACCCCCCCTCCACACATTCCAATAATTTATTACCCTCCCTGAAACAATGGCAATTTGAATGCAAAATTACTGGTTTTAGAAAGCAATTGTTCTCAAACTATTCGGCGCGATTTCAGATGAGAGTTTAATGCACCAAGTTTTCTCCGTAAACACAGTTGATGAGCGTAGTTTGTGTTTCCAAACAGGAAAATGGCATAATTACAAGTAAAATGCGAAAGAAACCCCTAATTTACGGATGCATTCTCACAGTTCATTTGTAACTGTAGTTTCGGAAACTGAGAAAACTAGAACAAGATTTTCGCGTTTAGTGCTGTTCGTGATTTTTCTTTTGGAGTAATTTTAGAAAATTTTAGAGAAACGAAATGATTATCTTATACGTGAATCATTAGAGTTGAAGCTTTTTTCTTCAGTATGGAGACATAGTTACTATTCCAATTTCGTCGGTTCTTTTTGTTCTGATTCGTAATTTAGATTAGGTTATTATTACGAGAGTTTGGAAAAATGGAGAATATTTTGAAAAATGTACAGCTTCCTCTGGGATTTTAAATTAGAGGTGGATAATCATGCATACTAATAGTTTTTTTTTTTTAAAAAAAGCTTTGATAACAATTGAATTAGTTATTCTTCATAACTATTATAACTTCACAGTTTGCGTAAAGAGTATTTAAAGATTGAAAAAAGATAAATCGTCATGCAGTTTAACAGTTTTTTTTTTAAAGTTTTGATAACAATTGAGTAAGTAGCTATTCTTCTGAATTGTTACAGTTTTGCTGTCTGTAAAGAAGAAGTGCTGAAAGAAATGTAAATTTTTTAAGGGGATTTAAAGAAGGGAAATTATGTTTTCTAGTTTTATTTGTTGAATACTGAATTTTATGAAGACTTCATGTAAAAACCATAGGAATTGACTTTATTTAACACAATTTTGTTTTTGAATTATTATTTTAAGAATTAAATCATTAGTTTTTCTGTAGTTAGTATCTATCTGTGTCAATTGCTTGAATTACTTTATTTATTACATTTTGTTATAAAATAATTGAAATAAACATGAAACAATAGAATGGTCAATTTTTGAAATTATCATTTGAAACAAGCTAATAAAACATATTTTAGAAATAATATGTATGTATCTTAAAGTTTAAATTCCAGACGTGGTCATTTGTTGTGCCTGTATTGCAAAAAATTCCTGATCAAATTTCGGAATGAAGTACCGGCACTTTGGAAGCATCAACAGTAAAATCCATTTTTTCTGCGAAATCCATTTTTACTGGAAAAATAATATAACGTAATTTTTATTGCAAGATTTATTTAATTAGAGTGTCTCAATGATTTTACGGTAATTATTACTGTAAAAATTACGGTATATCAGATTTTTTTTGTTTCGAAACATGTTATGGTAGAAATGATTTTACAGTAAAAAGTTCCTGCGCCCTGAGTGCCGGAACTTTTTATATTAGTTTGATCCATAATTGAAATCATAATTTACCGTGTAGGAATTTCTGATTAAACAGCTAATATAAAATACTTTCGATAAAAAGAACTATGGGTTCACAAACTATGAAAGCAGGGCTAATCATAAATACGGTTACAATTCAACCATGGGAGAGGTTTTGCTGTTTTTCTTTTAAAATTTAAATTCACATTATTTTAGTGCAAAAAGTCTTTCTCTGAAAGTTCTTATGATTCAGAGAATATTTTTTATTTCTCAATATGGCTCAAAATCACATGGTTTAAGAGATAAACTTCAAAGATGCCATAAATCCGCTGCATGAATTGATTCTTCATCGATAATAATTAAGTAAGTTGCGTATTCCTTATTTCAAACGCACCTAAATTTAATTGAAACTCAAAATATTGTATTTATTAAAAATACACTTCCAGAAACAAAACTGTCACTTTTGACGATTTGGCAATCTTTGTGCTTAATCATTTTGAGTAATAATATTGAGTAATAATGTGCTTAATTATTAATCGTAATAATTTTGAGAATCATTTTGTAGCGAAATCACGTGATTTGCGATGAAACACGAATACTCTCAAATATGTGACGAAAATGTTTCCTCGACTCGGAATCTCATCGTAGATTAGTTAGAATGACGAAACCAAAATAAAGATTACACAATCGAAAATAAAGTGAACAATTAAGCTTACTAGTTTGTATGGTAGTCAAGGAGGTGGCCTCGTGCTAGGGGTATCCGGGGTTCGAATCTCGGCTTCCGGCATGGGTGTTATTTATCTCTCTGTTTTATCTGTCCTTGTTGTGATATGCTACCTATATGGTGCCCATGTTAAAGTGATTATTAGAATAGTTTGTTACAGTTTGTTTTGAAAAGAAATGATATGACGAAATACTTCTTCAATTTGGACGATATTCGTTTCCTCGAATGAGTGACAATAGTTATTTCGTCATTTTTACGAAATTTTTATTTGGAGCATATATCAAGAAACGGTTTCGTCAGAAACATAGTAAGTTTCGCGATATTTGAGTATCCATTTTTTTTACAGTGTACGGAAAATCGAATTATAACATTAAAAACGTACACGATAACCTAAATTATCTTTTGTCTTATTTTCTTATAAAAAAGCAAACTTTCAGAAAAATAATTCACTTTACTTAATAAGCAACACTTTTTATCCACTAAGGCATTAATTTTCTATTTTTAGCCTATTTACCAAAACAAAAGACAGGGATTATTATTTTTTTTGCATCATGGTGATGGAGCTGGAGCCATTCTGATCCCATCAAAGAAGCTCAAGAGCAGGATATAATCAACTAATAGTTAACAGCATCTTGAGTTTCCGGAAGATCACTTATCACCGGCCAAATCTCGGCCTTGGAAACCTAATGCCTTAGAAGAAAGAAAGAAAGAAAGATGAAGAAAGGAAGATTGAGGCTAGGCTCTTTGACGTTTGGTAATTCTTTTTAG